AAACCTGGAGGACAGTTTTGTTCAACTGCAAACTTCACGTGATGTGCGTGTACTTTGACCAGCAGCCCCATGTCTGAGAATTTAGCCTCTGGTCGAAGAGTCCAAAATAACACTTGCCCGTGACTATGTGCTGCGACACTGTGCTAGTTCAAGATTAGACCCAGGGTCCATTTAGAGGGGCTGGGGAGGCTCCCGGGGAAGAGAAGCCCATGGAGCAGAACAGAGGGAAGAGAGAATGACCCCTTAGCTGGACTCCTCAAAGCAAAACACCAGAAGGAGACCCAAGAAATACAAGTGGGAACTAGTGGGGAGGAGCAGGGAGAAAAGAATTGGTTGAAAGGAAGATGGGAGACTTCCCAAGGATACTGATGAATAGCATCTGTTTTGTTATCGTATTATCTACACACACACGCCCAGTTTTCCACCGGTTGAAGCCAAATCATTGATTGATTACTAAGCCCATGGATTCCACTTGCAAGTCTGCCACACCGTTAGCCCTGACCCCCACGGATAGGATGCAAGACTCCCCAAAATCTTTTCTTCCAAGTTTTGTCTCTCACCCCTAATCAACTGGATAAGATTTAAAAAAAAATTTTTTTTTCAGAGAAGAGACCTGATTGAACTTTTGTTTTCACATGTTATTGTACATCTACTTCCAGGGTAGAAATAGAATTGAGTCTTGTCCAATCATCTGTAGCCTGTATATATCTTTTGGAATCAATTTATCCACAGTGAGATACAGAGTCCTCCTTGTACTTCTTTTTTGGATCTTAAAAATCTTAAGGTCTTATATCAAGTGCTTTTTCCCCTCAAACCTTAAATCTACATATAAAAAAGAAACATTTCTTCAAAATCTTTGATCCATGGTAGCACTGAACGCAAGTTCCAGGGCAGGGCTAGAACCTTGTGGCAATGGTGCCCTCTAGTGGCAGGTAGCTATTCCTGCTACGTGGAGGCCTAAAATTAAATGGTCAGGTATTTTATGCTGCTGTGAATGAAAACCTATTTCTAATTGCCATCTTTAACAGCCTTTTCCAAAGCTGTGTTTGAAGTTAGCTAGCTGTCGACATTTCAAAGTGAGAGGAATTGAATTAAACCGTCAGCTGAAATCTACCCCTTTTATCTTGAAAACTGCAAGAAATTCTGGGGGAGGGGGCTGGAATCTGTAGCATTAGCAAACGTCCCACGTGATTCTGATACTCAGGTTGGATGATGAAGCTTTGCTTTCATGGGGTTCCATTTCTGCAACAGATGAGAAATACCAGCCTGTATAAACTGATTGCCTGTAGTCATAGATGATAATGGACAACCTTTTGTCTACTGCATCTGAACGGCTCAGATTAGAGTGGTTTGCTGGAGAGGCTGGCTAAAGGTCCTTGCAGCAGATGTCTGAGGTTCAAATGTTTTCTTGGCAATTTTCTCCTCAAAATGTCACTTTTAATCTGTTTGCACTCAATGAACTGTTGGGGTCACGGTCTTCCACAGACAGTATTTGCTTTGTGCGTTCCTACCCAAATGGTCACCCTCCCTATCTACACCCCAACTCTGAAGACACTCTGAAAATGTGCCTAGCAAAGGGAAGTCTCAAAGATAACATTCTTTCCTTATCACAAAGTGGAAGTGGCCACAAGATACAATTAGCTCTATTCACCTGCCACCAAGGAACGGTGTAACGTGATACTGAAATTAACAGGAGGGAATTCTACTGAACCGGTATCATTTGTTTCCTTCTATTTTCTGGGTTTCAGACATTTTCCAATAAATGTTTTGCTTGCTTAAATGAGAAGCATTGATGCCATTGCAAAATTCACTTTATTTCTAAGTATTCAGCAGTAATAAGTAAAACCAATGCCTGAGTATACACGTGAACAGCAGACACAAGAGTGAGGCCCTCCTTGGTGGCTCAGGGGTTAGACACAGCACTACCAAGCCATGGGCAGCATCTGCACAGGAGTTTGATGCCCCTGCAGGCCAGGGAGCTGACCCACATGGCACAGCAGACCTCTCCTGTCCCCCTGCTGCTCCCCTCAGCAGTGAATTTCAGTAGATCTACCTGTCTCTGGTGAATCCTCTCATCCCCCTCACCGTTGGCCTATACCCCAGTTCTTATATGCATAAATACATCATTAAAAAAAAATAAGAAACACAGGTGCACAGTGTGTTACTTAGATGCAGGCCTGGGGGCAGCCAGGTCAACGCAACTTTGCTCCACCCCTTTGTTCGGCTTTGTGATGTTCTGAGAGCAAAGCTGGTAGAGCCCCAGAGGTCCCATAGAGTGCATGCACCTGCGGCATCAGGGTCCTGTCAGGGCACAGACATCTTGTCAGTTATGTGAACAGAGAGCACTTCTAAAAAGCTTAACTGGTATTTAAAGGTAGTTTGCTTTGACACACCTGTGAAACCATCATTGCTATTGTCTGAAATCTTGAGTCTTGCTCCCCAGATTCATGTTGGATCTTACTGATATAATGGTATTGGATGGGGCCTTTGGAAAGTGAAGAGGTCAGCAAGGTGGAGCCAGTGTGTCCTCAGGGGTGGACCTGGCTTCTTTCCCGTGTTAATGTCTTGGCAAGTACCACTTCATCCCATGACCATACCATACCAGTGTATTTATCCACTCACTGCGGCTGGACAGTCGCACAAATTTCAGTTTGGGCTGTGACAGGGATCACTACTATAAGCATTCATGTTTCACCTCAGACACTGTGAGTTTCATCTCTAGAAATCCTAGTTGAGTTTAGTATATTTTCAGCTTAACTTTTTGAGTAAATGGTCTAGTTACAATTTTTGTCCTTTCTGCCAATCCCAACATCTCTGTCAACTGTCAGTTTCAATGGTTTTCTCTCACTGTGGGTCATGCTTTTTTGCCTGTTTGCCGGACAATCTTCGGATGACACTAGGAATTTGACCTCATCGGGTAATGGATACTTTTGTAGAAAGCTTTGAGTTTTGGTCCTTTTAAGTAGTTTGAGCTTTCGGGTCCTGCTTTTATGGTTTGTCAGGCAAGTGGCAGCGCTCAGCCCCACAGCTTTCTCTGCTGCTGAATTCTCTGCTACTGAGGTTACGCTTTCCCGAGTACTCTTGCTAATTGGTGGGATTTCAGTCTGGTGGTAGGGCCAGGCACTCCTCCCAGCCCTAGAGAGGTGAGCACACTGCTTCTTATTCCTTGGAGGGTCCCCTTTGCCCAGCTTTGGCTAAGTTCTTAGCCGGACAGGTCAGTACACTTCTGTGTCTGAGGGGGGCCCTCTGCAGGACTCCAGGGCTCTGTCTATAGTCTTCTTTCAACACTGTCTTGCAAACCCTCGCCACCCTGGTCCCGTTCTACCCTTTCAGTGCTGTCTCTTCAGTTCCTGAAGTCTGTTAGGTTGCTGGGTTCATACTTCCTGTGTCCTAGGGATGCTCTTCAGGCAGTAGGCTGGGGTGCACCCTAGCTCCCTTTCATTAGCTAAAGGACCAGGATGGTGAAATCTGATTTATCTGATTTGGCTGGTGGGTGGGTAAACCAGTCACTGTTAGCCCTCCTGGGCTGGAAGTGTTAATCTAAACAGAGGAACTTAAAATTTTGGAATTGCTAACCCAGAACAAAGCTGCTAATTGAGTAAAGAAGACATTAGATGTATAAGTGGCAACTGCGGAGGGAGTTATCTCAGAAAAGAGGGAAGAGACTGGAATTCTTAAAACCTAGAAACTCAGAGGCAGCCCCAGAGTTGAAAGTCAGACCCACTGATATCCTTGGTTTTGGAAAAAATGATGAAACACATGAGTTGCGTTGTGGGTAGGAACTGCTTTTACTGGGATGAAGCGTCATTGGGGAAAGACAGGCGAGACCAAGTCCCTTCCATGGCTCACGCTGTGCGCTAGCTCTAGCACCCCCTGGTGGCAGCGACTGACAGGCGCTGCTGGCCGGGAAGACCATCTTGGCACCTTATCCCCACAGGGAGTCCTGTCCTGTTCAGCCCTTGCCAGCATACTCTCAGCTTCTCTACTGATACATTTTGCCAGTTTCACAGGCCAAATAAACATTTCATTCCTTCTACTTGAGAAGGTAGAATCTCTTTTTATGTTTAGAAACCATTTGAATTTCTTTTCTATGAAGCTTACTGAGTGTGTTCAGAGGGCATTTTTCTATCCACGTGCTAATCTTTTTATTGATTTGTGGTTTGCAAATATTCTTTGCCATTTTTTCAAACTTTGTGACTGTTTGGCTAGGGAGAAATGTTTTATTCTTACTCTTACATGCTAAATTCATTTCATCTCAAAAATCGCTTATTGGACACACACAACCCACGAGTCAGCCCTCTCCCTGACTTTTAATAATTCATTAAAAAATGTAAAACCGATCTCTCTGGTGGCGCAATGGGTTAAAGCACAGCACTATGGAGGTCTCCAAAGCCACTTCAGCACGTGTCCAATCTCTGGCCAGGGAGGTGACCCACAGGGCGTGGCAGACCTCTCTTGCCCCACCCTTTGCTCCCCTCAGCAGTCTGCTTTGTCAATCTGCCTGTTCTGCTCCCTGCTCTGTCTCTGGTGAATCCTCTCACCACCACCCCACCTCTGGCCTGTGCCCCAGTTCTGTATGCACAAATAAACAAATCTTTAAAAAAGATGTAAAATCCAAAGACTATGCACAGCGTAAAATATTTACTACCTGGCCCTTTACAGCAACCCCCGCCCCCAGTCTCAGATAAGAATGTCCCATGAGTCGGGGCAAGGGGCAGACCAGACAGGCCTCTTAGAAACCCAGTCGGTACCCCCACAGCAACTCCGCACAGGATTTGTCCCTATCTTATTCATTCAGCAGCCCATGCCAAGTGCCTGGTTTTGTGGATGAACTCCAAGGAGTCTGCCAACTCTGGAAAGCACCACAGCCTTTGCCTGCTGGCTGCTGGTCCGGTATAACAAGTAGGGAAAATAAACTGGAGCTGGTGAATGATAAAAGCGTGTTTTATGTTTGGCAAATTCAAGTCCGTAGGGGAATTTAAAATAATAAAGCCACTAAAAACGGTTTTTGCATTGTTTTAATATTTACAAGTTTTCTACAAAGTTCTGTACATAAAAACAAATATACAGAAACTACCTCAATAACTGTCTGCATCAGTAATCCTCACCGGTGGCTCACCGTTTCCGAGGAAGACATCATTCAACGCACCCGTCACAGACACGCCCTACCTGCCAGCCTTAGAAATCCAACTCTTTCGTCAAAATTGCTCATCACCTAGAGGCGTTCACCTACTAACTAGCAATTACCATAAACCAATGAATAGATTTAGTGAAGTGTGGCCAATGATCTACTGATTCTGGTGTGCTGGCTTTCTCCCTTAAAGGTAAAGCTAAGAAAAGAAAGAAACTCCACTCCCTGGCTAGTCACTGTGAAAAGTGTGCGTTGAGGCAGTTGAATTGAGGGTTAAGGATTCTTCTTGCTAATGTCAAAGACGACACTAACAAGACTCTTAGCCTCATCCACCAGATGTCGGGCCTCTGCGTCCGGGTCTCCAGGAGCAGGCTCCCCCTCCTTCACCAGACAAAGGGTTGTACCCTAGGGCGAGAGAAAGGAAGCACATGTTCACAAACTTTCAGCTACTGTATGAAAATACTCTGTGACTGCAGTTTGCAGTGACTTCTGAGGGAAATAAAAGAAACTATTCAAAGCTTCGTGGTCTCGACTCCCTCAGAGACACTGTGCCTGAAAAACCCTCAAGATGGTTCGATTTAAATCTGTACGAGCTTCTATTACATTGCTTAATAGATGCATTCCATTTAAGTAGGGATGTGCACAGAAAAAGTTGAGAATGAGCACTTGGCCGTCTCACTGAGTAAGCAATATGTAAGAAACAAGGTGGCCCTGGCCAGAGAGACCAACACCATCGAGTTCCAGCTCCTGACACTCGCCAGCAAGAGGAGCAAACCAATTCTCTCAGTGCTAACCTGTTCCCTGACAAGGAGCCTGGACTCATGCCAAACACGTCCTGAGGGCTTTGACTGACCTCCCTCATCCTTCTTATCAAGTGTTTACCTTTTTACCAACCGAACAGAGGACAAGGAGGTGACAGGCTTCCAGGAAACAGGACTCACAGCACACCTGTGCCCAGGTCTATTGAGCAACAGGGAGGGCTAAGCGGGCTGGAGAGTCCCAGCCACTGAGGGCTATTTTGCAACTGTGTTTTTTTAAACTTAACCTTAAACTTAGGAATTAGTCTCAACTTACAGATGAGACAACAAAGAAACAGAACCCTGTAATTAAAAAGTACATCCTGTAACTGCTCAGAACGCTTCACCCTTGCTACTTACCGCCTCCTCGCAAAGGCTTCCTGTCGGGTTTTCGTTTGGGGATGACTGAAGTGGAAGGCCCAGGGCTGTCTTCCTCCTATTTGAACACACAAGCGCTCAAGAACTTACTTTAAAACATCCCACTCCATCAACCCTCATCTGCTTGGCAAGTGCTGCCAGGCCCCAGCCCCGTCACCTGCGGCTTCCTTGCGCTTCCTCTGTAGCTTTTCCCCTCTTGCATGCTGTCCCACATTTCTATCTTCTGTCTTCTTTTTTCTTCTTCAAGCTGAGGAAGAATTACACATTGTGCAGAATGAGCTCACCAGCTGCCATGTTACCCCAAGAAAATGCTAATTTTGACAATTCTTGATGGAAATGTCCTTTAAGAGGAACAGTGAGGAACTGGTTTCAGAACTAGGCCTGCACCTGCCTTCACTTCATAAAATTTGTCATCTAGCAGTGCGAGGTGACTAAACCACAAACAGAACTTTTAGTTTTTGAACACTTCACAGAAAAGAGTCAGAGGAAAAAGGACAGCAGTTCTGTTTTTCGGAAACTTGCCTTTCACAGGATATCATGGTAGTACGGGAAGACTGGAACAGGTGAGGAGGCCGGTGCTAACTAGCTGTGTCAACTGGGAAAGTCACTTAAACCTTCTGTTTATGAGGAAGAATGCCCTAAGTATTAATATGGAAAGCCTGGCCAGAAAGGGGCTGGGGAGCAAGGAGGTCAGAGACTTCATCAAAAATTTTTGTTCCTATCTTGTGTGATTTTAAACAATTAAACAGCAGTGTGAAGCCTCTCTGGTGGCCTATGGGTTAAGTCTCAGTACTACTGCAGCAATTGCCTGAGCTTGATCCCCAGCCAGGGGCTCGCCCACATATGGCTCAGACCTCTCCTGCCTCGCCGCTGCTCCCCTCAGCAGTGGATTTCAGTAGAAATGTTCTGCCCTCCACTGTCTTGGTGAAACCTCCTACCTCCCCAAACCCAAGGCCTCTAGCCTACACCCCAGTTCTTATATGCATAAGTAAATATGTATTTTTTAAAGTTCAATAGTAATGCGCTAGCATGTTAGGTTAGTGGCTGTATTTAAGTGAAGATGGTCACTGAATACAAAAGAAGGCACCAAGAGGAACGGGAGAGACAGTGTCTACAGTAGGCGTGGTCTTGTTCTGTCCTTTCCTCTTGGCCTCCAGCCAAGCTGGGGAGACCAGTCACATAATGGGTGACCAGGCAGAAATAACAAAAGCCACCAGCAGAGGCAGGAGGCACACAACCTTTGAAATACCAGTGACACATGCAAGACCAATAGAAGAGACTTCTCTGCTGCCTAGAGCTGACAGAGGCTTTTTTGAGGGGATGAAGAGAAGGGCCCAGAAACTTCTGGACTGAGAAGTAAAAAGCAGGGTCTACATTTGCTGTTTCAATTATTTATACCGGGTCCAGTCTGGTGGGTGATGGTGCTCCTGTGAAGAGCACATGATTCATTCACCTGGCTGCTCAGGCTGCTCTCTAGTCCTCTTGGTTCTTCCCCCTCCCCCCCCCCACAACCCCCCCACCCTACCCAACCCAGATGCCTTTCAAAACTCAGTCTCCTGCTCTGTCTCTATTAGCACACACCTGAGTCTGTCATGACCTTCCCCCAGTTCTTCATTCCACTGAAAAGTGGTCCCACAAAGGCAGGTCATGTAAGACACACAGCTTAGAAGAGACCACGGAGCAGGAAGCTGAAAGCGCACCCTGTCTGATAGAGCCACACCTGGATGTGTGATTTTAGTGGGAAAAAATATAGCTGTTAGGAGCCCAGAAAGCAAAAGCAGAAGTGAAAGATACCTTGAGGAGTGTGTTCCCCCTAAACACCAAGAAACTGCCTAAGGAAAGCATGTTAACCAAGGTGAGTGTAACTGATTTGGCCACTCGTTGTTCTAGTACCCCGAAATGGGGCAGTGCATCTACTACTAAGCCTCACACTACTTAAGACTGTATATTCAAACTAAAACCAACTCATACCTGTTTTAGTTTTTCTTTATGTTTTTCAACTTGGGCATTTAATTCCTCTTGCATTTTCAAACGAGCAGCTGCTAAAGCCTCTTGCCGTTTAACAACAACATCAGGCTCTGAAATATCAGAAAAATGATATAAAGCGCCGTGTAGAATATAAAACAGAAACTCATGGGGGTTCATGTAAGTAGAAGTATACAAAAATACAGATGTCAGACTGCACTTATGTGAGTACAAATTCTACTCCCTGCACACATTTTACTATCTAAGGGGTAGAGGATTATCCTATACAAACTGTTCATGGCTCCTTTGGCAGCTACTATCTGGGACAGGCCCTATGACTCAGTGTATGCGATCTGACAGCTGGAGCAGAGGACTGTCCTATTTCCTACTACACTGGCATCTGCTGCATGAAGTCCTGTCTCTCACACAAGACTTCCAGCTGTACTCTGCAGTCTGTTGTTGGATGTATAGCCAACAATCAAAAGACTGAGAGAATGGCAAGATCACGGGGCAGAAGTGTATTTAAGTCTTTTCACTAGTGACTACTTTCCACTACTGACTATTTTTGTGTTAGGAATTCTGCTTTCCTGCCCCATCTCAGGAACCACGGAGATTCATTTGAACGACTACTTGCATTTGTTTACTTTGCTGCTATTCTCAAACCACATTTTGGATACGTTCTCAGAAGCTACCTTATCATTACTGAAAAGGCTACCATTTTCACAGGGACTGAGTTTGTAATTTGAAATCAGGTCTGATGAGTAAGTTGTAAAAGTCATAACGTGGATATGAAGAACTCGGTGAATTTCTCATCACTTCCAAAGGCTCTAGCAAGAACTCCAAGTTACTAGGCGGATCTAGGTAGACAGATGTGAAATTTCCAATTTAATCTATTCTATAAAAGAAAAAACACTCAACAAGATACATAACCTATCAAGACAGGTTTCCAGTCCCATTAAAATCTCTTGGGGGGGGGGTTGGGGGAGGGAAAACCTATGGCACATTTACCAAAATCACTTTCAGGAGCAAAAAGCAGGATTCTTTTCATGCAAATTAGAATCGTGTGTTTCCTACTCGTATAACATACTAATTTCATGTATGTAAAATTAGCAGGTGAAAAGTCACTGCCTTCTTCTCTGTTGTCGGGTACTGACCCACAGCTGCTGCAGCCTGGTCCAGCTGCCTCTGCCTCAAGACCCTCAGCCGGGTGGAGAGCTTCTGAAAGACCACGTAGAGGAGGATGCAGCTGAAGAGGATGTACCAGCCATAGGTGGCCAGCAGGGAGCCCACTGGAAGAATACCGTTAAGAAACCGAAAAAGATACTGTTACTTGAAATACAGTTCAACCAGAAGACAAACTAGCGCTGGGCCTGCCCTGCAAACCGTCGCGGTCTCGCTGAGACAAACGCCTTTTAAGACAGCTGAAATGCGGAGAGGCGCAACAAACAACTCAGGGATCTCCTGTGACGGGAACTCCCAGCCGACAGTGGAGCCCGCGGGCAAGCCTGGCAGATGCAGGGCACCGCGGCTCGGTTTTAAAGAATGAAAAGACCAGTATCCAAGTCAGACCCAGGGAACGCGCCTTTCCGGGTCGCACCGGCCCACGCCCCTCTGGGGGTTAGGAGTGAGGGGCAGAGAGGGGTGGGCGGAGGCGCCAGGGCCTAGTAACCGTAAGCCGGCAGGGCTCATCAAAAAGGCCCTGGCGCCGCCCGCAGCCCAGGAGGGCGGCTCTGAAGGCTCGGCGCACGCCGCGGCCCGGCTCCCGGACCAGAGCGCGGCCCCAACGCGGCTCCTGGCAGGCCTCCCGGGGCCCGCCCAGCGCGCAGCGGACGACGACCCACCGATCATAGCGGCGCGCTGGGGTGGTGGCGGCGCGCGCCCCCGGCCCGGGCTGCTCACCCGTGACGTGCAGGAAGCGCAGCCCCTCTGTCTCCAGGGCTGGCCGCGCGGCCAGCTGCTCCCCGTCCGGCTCCATGGCCGCCGCCAAGCTGCCCAGCCGCGTCAGCTCGAGACTGCGCCTTCCGGCCCGCCCCTTCGACGCGTGGCGCGCCCGCCGCTCGCGTCACCGCCTCCTGGCCAATCGGATTGCGAGCCCGCCCCGACGCTCGGCCGAGCGCAGCCTGGGCGGGGCCAGGCCGGGCGAGTGTCCACGAGTCGCAGCTGCGTTGGCGTCACCGGATGTCCACACTGCTGGCCTGCGGTCGCTTGACTTCCAGTCGATTTCCACTGCTGATTTCTACTTGCTGATTTCCAGTCGAATTTTTACCTGTCTTGATGGGTTCCGGGAGGGTTGGGAACCCCTGGAAACTGGACTTGGCGCCCTTATGGCCATAGGGCTGCTTGGCAACGCTCCTTCTGGTTGTAGCAGCCAAGGCCCACGGGTCCAGGCGTAAACGTAAAACATGGGCAGTCTCCCCCTCCTGCCGGTGTTACCTTTCGGGCTGAGGAAGTCGTGACCCTGCCACCGAGGGTGGAAACCTGGGCAAACAAATGTGGCCCCAAGGAATAAGGAACCCTGCTGTGTCACGGGCATTTTCTGTTATTTGTAATAGTGTGCTGTTTCCTTGGCCTACTGGCTTTCTCCCAACCACGTCTGCTTCTCACCTGTTGCTACCTCTGGGCCTACTTGAAAAACTTTCAAAGCTAACCTTGAGATTTCTTTGGAAGGCTTTGATATGTTGTCTAGTTGTGTCTTAAAAGAGTTGAGAATAGGAAGTGAAGAAATTGTAGAGGTGGTGACAATGGCTAGTAAACAGGGTGAGGCAGGCACGCACCCACACACTGACCTATTTGATGTTTGGAAAGCAGTAAATAAAATTACTAATTTTTGGTTAAGATTTTATTTATGCATACACAACTGGGGTACAGGCCATGGGAGGTGGGGGGAAATGAGGATTTACTAAAGACAGCAGGGAGCAGAACAGGAAGATCAAATGAAGCACACTGCTGAGAGGACCAGTGGGCGAGTCAGGAGAGTTCTGCTGTACATGTGTCACCTCTCTGGCCAGGGATCTAACTAGTGCTGCAGTAGCTTCACAGTGCTGTGCTTTAACCCACTGCACTACCAGAGGGCCAAATAAGATTACTATTGAAGAACCTGAGTTCTTGAGCGATAGCAAGTAAGTCTAGAAGCACTAGTTCATTTAATTTTTATTTTTTTGAATAGCAAACTCATTTGTCTTTTAGTAAGTTGGAGTATTTAAATACACTTTAAGCCACTTTTGGGCCACGTTTTTTCCCCTAATGTCTTATTTGGTTCCCTTAGATAAGTGAAATCACCAATTATTTTTTTTCCCCCTCTGACACTGAGTACAATCCCTCTAGACATTTTGACTCTACAAGTTAGGAAACGGAGGAGTCTGGATTTTGTCATTAAGCTTGATAGCCTTTGATATGGTAAGTTTAGGAGGGGGCAATTTTCCTTGGATATTTCCTTTCACTTGTAAAGGACAAACCATCACTCTTTGATTTCTCCTTGCTCTGCCATCATGTATGAACTATGTGCTAAAAAGGATTTCTTGGGATTATACTGAAAATAGCTGCAATGCCACTCAGGATGACTTCTTACCCAGCGGATTTCAGAGGCACTGTATTGAGGGAGACATTAATCAGATCACTCCTCTCCTCAGCAGCTAATGCTCAGAAAGACGATTTAGCACAATAGTTTCAATCGGTGCTTGGGAGTTTATTTTTATACAATAAATTAGGTGATTAAGATTGCTGATGGGTTAGCTAAGACTTTTTTAAAAAAAGATTTATTTATGCATACAGAACTGGGGTACAGGCCAGAGGTGCAGGGGTGGTGAGAGGATTCACCAGAGACAGTGGGAAGCAGAACAGGCAGACTGATGAAGTGCACTGCTGGGGGGGCACAGTGAATGTCCTTTATTTTCACTATTTATAAAAAACTGGCATTTAGATTTCAAAATTTACATTACAAAATCACCAGCAGCAGTTTTAAGCATTTCCAAATGCTTATCAACTCCACCTTACAGACACAAAAAGACTATTATTCCACGTTCCAAGAGCAGGTCTTATTCCAGATCGTGGCACACGACACATCCTGCAGGCACTCAGGTCAACAGCTCAGGACCCATTTGTCACTGTGTCTTCTTCCATCTCCTCTTCACCGTCATCAGTGGGGCCTAAAGAAAAACGGAAAGCTGGAGTCACACTGGATTCAAGAACATGCATGTCCCTTCTGTTAGGCTGACATGTACTAGGCCCTGGACTAGATATACACACCCAACAGCTGCCGTAAGGACTTGAAAATCCAGACAACTATGTCTTTGGCAGGACCAAAAGGGATGGGCAATTCTTAAAGAATCACAAAGGTGTTTTATGAAAGTCAAACCTGTTACTTCCCACTGTAATTGTTCTGGTCCATATGTGTGAATCTAAAAAGCTTATACTTGGAGATTTGTTCTTGCCACTATCGTGAGCCAAGAAACTGGGGATACTCACCCCCAAAACACTTCAGTACCTGCTACATGCCAGATATTGGGAATAGTCAGCAGCTTTATTGTCTCTAAATTAGGAAAAGCAGGACAGCCACCACCAAAAGGTTCCTGCATTTGCTCAACAACTTCAGGCAGGTATCTTGGTCAATGGGTTCTGAAAAGGAAACCTTTTAACCTTGCGAGTCACTGTTTAATTCTATATTTCTATAGCTAGAAACAAACAGGAGATTTTTAGATACAAAACTACTAAGTCACTCAAGAGGTGCTACCTGGAAGCCCCGCATACTGCTATCTAGAAAATGGAGCACTATCCTGGTATGTATCTTCTCTCCCCAAGTGCTTTTAGACTACATTTAAATGCCAAGGGATGATGAGGACCAAGTAAGTATTCTAGAAGCTACTCAAATAGTTCTGTCATATTACAATCACGTAAGCATTTCCTATCTTGCCTCTTCCCCCAACCTGTCACCACAGAGCCTTGAAAGCTTGCAGCAGCACTACAGATCCGTGACCGCTGCGGCACCATGCATGGCTCGGTGCATGCTCCTGCTGTGGGCCCAGTCTAGTGCCTCTGGTTCGCTCGCAAGGGCCCAGTCAGTTCAAGTGCGCAATGCTCGCCTCTTACCAGAGCTGGCTGCTGTGCAGCTCCCTCTATCTACCTAGGAGGCCAGGCTGCCCTGCCTTTGTCTAGCTCAGCAGTTCTCAAACAAGAGTTTTTTTTCCTGCAGATTACATTCATCCATAAAGTATTAGAAATTAAAATTGAGTATCTTAAAAAATAATTCCTAAAATAATAAATCCATTACATGCTAGTGCTTGTATTTCTATCGAAAATAAAATTGGGCCCTCCCCGGCGGCGCAGAGGGTTAAAGCGCAGCACTGCAAATGAGCTGCAGCGCTTCACTGTGACTTCAATCCCCGCCCCGGAGGTGACCCACATGGCGTGGCAGACCTCTCCTGCCTCGCCCACCACTCCCTCAGCAGTGCACTTTGTCAATCTGCCTGTTTTGCTCCCCACTCCGTCTCTGGTGAATCCTCTCACCACCCCCCGTGCCTCTGGCCTGTACCCCAGTTCTGTATGAATAAACCAATAAATCTTTACAAAAAGAAAATTTCTCCAAACAAGATATATATATGAAAAGTTGGCATTATTTGGTATTTCTGCTTAACTCTGAGATATCTGCTCGACAACGTCAGCTGGCCTCCAATACTGGCTTCACAATCCGCCAGTTACTGTCATACAGGGTTTTGATTGAAGGGTATAAAGAAAATCACCCTCATATGTATACAGTTAGAAAATGAAAGAATATTTCAGTAGCCTTTGCAGACAGCTGTAGATACTTGTTTACAATGAGAAAATAAACTGAGAAAAGTGGTAGTTTCTTAATAGTTTTCAACTAGTCTGAAATCTTTTAACATGCTCATACTCTGACTTGAAAACCCAGTGGCTATCTTGTACTTTCTGAGTGTAATTTATGCATGTGCAACTTTGTAACATCATTTGGAAATACTTGTTCACAGAGTTCTGAGTTCCAATAGGTCTTACAAATATTGATCTACTTCACTATGTAACAGAAAAAAAAGTCACCACTGATTTCTTCAATAGTGTTTAAGTACGGGGAAGCTTTCAAGGTTACTGTGATGAGTGAAAATTTTCCGGCTTTTAACTTTTCTTGAAATCTTAAATTTTATCATTGGTAACCAACACCATTAGATGTTTGCCTTGAGGCGACTGCTGGCTTCACATCTGAGAAGATGCCCGCTTCTCAGCTAGAACAAGTGCACACCTTTGCCACACAGGATTGAGTGCCCCAGGTGTGCCTACCATCCTAAGCAGGGAAAAGATGTGCACTTAAGGGGTGACATGTAATACAATGAATCATTTTCATTGCTTTATGATGAACACTCATAAGCGAAACTGGTACGTATTTAACGGAGAGAGCAGAGCAGTTTAGGATGTCGATAGTTACTAACACCCTCTGGGCCACTGCCTCGACCTGCCATGGCATTACATGGCTTTGAACTCAGGGGATCCAAGAACAACTGATCTAACATCTTACTCATTTTTTTGCTTCAGTTCAAGTATTTCTCCAAGGAAATTTTTCTGAGTTACCAGTCTAAGTTCCTATCAAAACTTACCATTTTGAGTGTAAGCAAACCCAGCATGCTGACATTCAAATACTAGACTAGCTAACACCTTTCAAAACCTTGCTGATTCAGACCCTGTGCTAAGTGCTATTTATGAAGTATGCTACTGAATCCTCTCACCGACCTTTAGTGGTTGGTAAATTATCTCAGATTAAAGGATGGGAAACAGAATGAGGATTAAGAAGCTCCAAGAACATGGGTGAAGAGGCTAAGATCTGAGCCTCAGGCTGCTGTGCTCTGGAGTCTATGTTCCCAACCACTTCTATCTCTCATAGGGATCACCTATAGTATTGAGATTTTACTCCATAGCTACGAAATAATGTTGGCTTCAATTTAAATTAAAAACAAAACAAATCCGGCCCTCCCTGGCACAGCAGGTTAAAGCACAGCACTAGGAAGCTAAAGCCACTTCAGCATGAGTTTGATCCCTACCCCAGAGGTAATCCACATGGTGCAGCAGACCTCTCCTGACCTGCCTGCTGCTCCCCTCAGCAGTGTACTTCGTCAGCTGGCCTGTTCTGCTCCCCACTCTGTCTCTGGTGAAGCCTCTCACCGCCCCTGAACCTCTGGCCTGTACCCCAGCTCTGTGTGCACACATAAATAAATCTTTAAAAAACAAAACAAACCCTATTTCTTCATCTTCAAAAGCAAATTTAGTGAGGTTTCATGAACATAAGTAGGAAGGTAGAGGTATTATTTAAACATTCTCAGGTAAACTGTTTTGGATGTATGAAGACAGAACAAGTTTCCTCACCTGATCTGCGTTCTCTGCCAGGTATCTGACCAGACTGCAGTAAGCCCTTCAGCCGCTCCACTTCGGCCAGAGTTGATGCGTTTGCTATAGCATTCTAGAGGAAAGATGACAGTGGAAATGACAATTTCATCCAAGTGTCATTCTTTCAGAACACTTCTACAGAAATGAACAGCAACTTTTCAAGTTGGAACAGTAAATTGTTTTACCCTGGGAAAAGAATTTTATCAGCACACTAAAATCAGCACAGAAATCTAACTATTTTCAAAGTTGATAAAGAGATACAGACCCTCTTATAATAAAAAGAGACCAATGATCATCCTTTGTGACCTAAAGTTTTGGCTAGTAGAAATATATATTTGAAGCGTGTTACTGGATAATTTAGCAGGTGATAATGTAAAACTGGGACTTTCACTGTTCATCAATCAGGACTTTTCACACAGCAAATGCTTGGTATGATTCAGACAAACACTGAGACAGCATAAAAAGCTAACTAGCCAAAAAAACATATGCTGAGAAAATGAGAAGGCAGGTGACTACTTCCACTCTGACTGGAGCATGTAATTAATGCAATTCAAAGTCTTGTAAAATAGTAACTTTTGCAAGTCTTTCCTTATATAGAAACTTATCTGGAGGGAAAAATTTACAATTTTCTAAACTTATTTACATAACTGTGTCTTTCCCTCACCTAGCTCTCTCCAGCCTAGGAGTTCTAACACATCAGTACCTTAATTGCTTCTACATCCCCTGGAGACGGTCCACCTTTCTTTTTGTCAGTTGGCAAACCAGCTCCTGGATTGAAACTGTGAAGGGGAGGAAAGAATGTAACTGTAAATCCAGATCAATACAAACTGCTTCTCTTTACTTTCAAAAGATTTTGAAAGTAATTCAACCAGTGTAGTATCTTATCTTTGTTAACAAACTGATACAAGAAACTCTCCTTCAGAAACACCACCCAATTCATCTTTTTAGAGAGAAAGCAAGATGTTTAAGAGATCCATTAGATGGAATTCTGAAAATTTGCCCTACTGACCTGGTAGAAATCTCATGTGATGTGTGGACCACTGACAGTCATGACCATCACCACACAAGTGCAATACTATATTAGTCACAAGTGTTTGTTTAATTTTGCAGGCGGCAAACTGCCAGACAGATAGTGTTTCTGAAGGTGAAGTAGAGTGAAGTTGGATATCCGTATCTTACGTTTTGCTTCTCCTGGCAATATCCTTTGCAAGTTGTGCACCCCGTTTGCCCTTGAACATTTTCTCTGCTTCCTGACGCTCCTACAGCGACACCACACACAGAGTTAATGGAAGTAGGAATACCACATGCATTTAGATGCATTCCTCAGCAAACACGGAAGGAAACTCCTGAATAGTCTGGGTTGGTGAAAGTGCCAACAAGCCAAACTCCTAATAAATGGAGACAGTGGTTCTGCCTTTTCTGATGTAGCTCTGTGGAAAAAAGCCCCCTCCTAGTTTCAAGATGGGGCTCTTAAAGAACTGAGGTTAGAAGGCTTAAAACAAAATAGGGGGGTTGGGAGTAAGACAGCCCCTGAAAAGGGAAACACCATTCTAACAATCAGAGCTGCTGAACAATGGGTTCTCTGAGGCCCCCGGGGAGGGGTCTGCCTGGGCAGTCTGGCTGCAGGGCACATGCCATGGCACAGAGACGGCGCTGCCTGAGAGCTTCAGCTCAAAGTCCTACCACAAACTGCTGCGAAATGTGTGGAGACGTTTCCTTTCCCACATTTTTATTACAAATGGTAAAGCTCGGCAGGCAATTTAAAAAATCAATCACAGAAGTATAAAGGAAAACACAACTCCATGATGACTTACAACCAACAGAGTAAGACTTACTTTTAGTTTCACCTTCTGGAAATCCAGCACTCTGACTTGTGGCACTTTATAAATTACATACAATCTGTAATGCTTCTTATTTGTTACAGGATTTCTCAGAATACTACAAGAAAAGGAACATAACCAATCGTTGCAAGGCATCCAAGAGGTGTATTTAAATAAGTCTGCTAGTCAAGAAAAAGTTCCTACTTTCACTTTTTAATGCCATAACAAGTTAAGTAGCATTAGAGAAATTCTAGCAGACACTGGGCCCAAAGGAAAATGCAACTGTTTAAAGGGTGTCTTCCCACCTTCTGCTTTGAAGTCAAGTCTGACAAAGGTCTTATTTTAGGTGACTTTATTGACACCACCACAAATTATTCCCATACCTCAGATAAGTCAGTGATTTGAGAGATGCCAAAGGGTCCAGATCACCCTGTAAAAGAACAACCATAGGTAAGAACGCGAATGCCACAGGCTGTCCCAGTACTGAGGTGGTGGGCACCTTTGAAGTACGGACGCTTCTTATCTTTTACTTCTTTTTTTACTGCTCAACATCTGGCACAATACTATCACAGATAATACAGTTCCACTGAGTGAACTGGTAAAAAGATTTGAGCTTTGTAACCTTAAAATCTTGACTCTTGAGTTTGTTTCAATGGTAGGAGAGAATCACTCCCTCCCCACCACAGCCACTGATATCCTATGGTGGGAAAAGGTATTTGCAACACATATAACTGAAAAAGGCCCAGATCCTGATAAAAAGACAAAAATGTTGAGGTAATTTTCTGTGAACTTTTCTACACTTTCCCAATCTCTGAAAGTAGTAGTACCTTCAATTCTCTCCCAAATACATTTCTCCCCTGTAAGACTTACCAGCTCCACAAGACTATTGTTGGTGAGAATGAGTTCTGTCAGACAGGGCAGAGCCTGATCAAGTCCCTCACCTATACGGCTGAGACAGAAACAGAAGGACTCTTAGTAAAAGTCAAAATTAAGCAAACTAACAATCTAAGTAAGCCCTTCTCAGAGGAATTCAAAGTTGGAAGAACTTTAGACATCTTCCTTCCAACACCCTACCAGACAGAGGGAAAGTGAGATTTCAAGAGGAAACCATAGCCACAGACTTAATGACAGAGTGGGAGAGTTTCAGACTCCAAGTCTCCTGAATGCTGCCAAGGGTTCTCCCCACTACTGTACCTAAGAACCCCCTGTACAGAACAAAGTGCTTAGCTCATTGCCTGACTTTCATGCAGGTAACAGAAATACAAGTGATTCTGCATTCACTGTTCTGGAACAGGGCACACACACACATCTAATAGGAGAGAATGGAAGCCCTCTTAGAAACACGGGCACTAAACTCACTACCTGGTACCATCTACTATTTCTTTTTTTAAAGATTTTATTTATTTATGCATACCAGAACTGGGGTGTGTGTGTGTGTGGGGGGGGGTTGCGAGGATGGACCAGAGACAGAGACTGCAGAACAAGTAGATCCACTGAAATACACTGCTGAGGGGAGCAGTGGGAGAGGTCTGCTGCACCATGTGGGTCACCTCCCTGGCCAGGGATTGAACTCAGGCCACAGTGGCTGGCAGTAGCTTGATAGCACTGAGACTTACTAACTCCTCTGCCACCAGGGAGGCCCTTCATCTAGCACTTCTTAAAGACAGTCTCTATAGAGCCTCAGCAAATTTCCCACTACAACTAACAGAATGATGATAAAGGGTCAAAGCGTTCAACTACTATCTTAGAAATCAGTTGCAGTTAAACAAATGGCAGAGGACATGTGGTATAGAGATGCTCACTCAAAAATACAATTGTTGAACACTAAATTTCCTTTATTACAATTGTTTTAGAGTCAGATTATGGAAAAACATCATGGTTTTAATTTATAAATAAATTAAGACTCTTGAACAGACTAGACCAGTAAGATTAGACCAAAACCAACTGTCAGGATCTCTATGGGAAAGTGCAGCTCATTCCTCTTTTTAAGAAAAAATATACACTGTAAACAGGAAATTTGTACTAAAATCTATAGGAAAAACTACTTCAGACATTTACTTCAGGTGAAAATTTAATTCCTACTAGCAGACACTTACCATATTCTATTGTTGTTCACTAGCAATGTTTTCAGTCTTCTCAACAAAGGAAAACCATCCAACTTCCTTATTTCATTGTCAGAAAAGTCAATGGCATCAAACTGGTCTAAGGTAGCGCCTAGATTTTCAATGACGGGAATTTTATAGCCTGAAAAATGGAGGGAAAAAGACCACACAAGTTAACACTCTGACCAGGCACCTTAAAGCATTAGTGGTATTTTGTGGTAACTTAATGCTAGGTTCTCATTTACTCACAAACACCTATGCCTCACACAACACCATGCAAGCTTCTGGCCTAACAGTGGATATCACAAAGGATGACGGCGACAATGATGATGAACACTGCCCAACAGGAATATCGGTAACTAGATTTACAAGAATATTTACAAGGCACCTCAAGTTGTTCTAAGTGAGGCCCTGCAGCTACTTAATTGCCACAGCAGGAATTTAGACCACTGGCTGCTTACTCTGGAGTGCAATGTCCTGATGTTGTGGACAACAGTTCGCAACTCTTTTTGCATTCCCACAGCCCAGACTCGGGGAACTCACCTGTATATCCTTCTACTTGGATAGACTGCCTTCTACAAGGCATTTTCCCCTTTCATCAAATTAGAGTTGAAGGTCATGGTTTACACACAGTGATAAAATAACCTGTGAACCATCCACTCCAATACTCAATAGTCTAAGATGGGCAGCAACATTGTGCCAGGCCCCAGGAGAAAAATGAACCGAGCTAAGATTAAAATGCACAATTCAGAGCTGTAAAGGCTACAGGCAAGTAAGTACTGTCTCCAAGTCAGTCCTCTCGATTCTGGATGCACTTCTGACTTAACACCCAACAGAGAGCAACCCGTACCAACAACCCAGGAGGTCATTTCCTCTTGAACCCCAAGAAACTTAATATCCACAAACTTTCCTAAGAATCTAAGCAGAAAGCAGAGCCTGCACAAGAGCTGTGAGCCCAGTGACCCCAGGGGAGCCATCTCAGGCGTGATTATATGATCGTATCCCCGGAGAAGGTGCTTTTCACTTCCTTCCTTCCATCTCTTGAAATGATGGACAGCTGTAGCCTCAGTTTCTTACCAACAACACGACGATTGATAGCTCCAGCTATCTGACTAGTCCCAAGGGCTGACATCATTTACACAGTGCATCTGGCAGGACACTTTGCCTCGATACAACAGTTCACTCTTCCAAATGCTTTGATAAGAGAAAAATACCAAACAAAGCCAGTAACGGCACACTGGGCGGAAATCAGTTGCTTCAGTTTCTGACTTTCGTTCCCTTCCTCACACCTCAGAAATAACTGCCGCGTACCCTATCTATACCCTCGCAATAGCAACTGAACGCCTCACTGAGGGCCCCCTACGTCCTGCAGTAAGGTCACAACAGCCAGTAGCTATTTCCTCGGCCCTCGACAGTTTGCACTGGTGCACACAGCAAACAAGGCCTAACAAAGGCCCGGGCGTACGGGCCAGGAAGCAGTTACGGCGGCCTCGTGAGCACGGGCAGAAGCCGGGCTAAGAGAGGCCTCGGGAAGGCCGGGCCGAGGGCCTCAACGGCCAGCGCCTGCGGGCGGCCGGCTGCCGGGCCCGAGTGCGCGCCCGTGGCCCAGGCTCCCGCCTCGGCGCCCGCGGCGCGGCGCGGCCCACGGGGCAGCGCGCGGAGGCCCGCAAGCGCGCGCCCGCCCGCTGCCCTGGACTCACCGCGGAGGTCCAGCTCGCGGTCCCGCACGGCGTTGGTGTACTGCGCCGCCTGCTCGATCAGCTCCGCCGTCAGCTTCACCATCCTGCCGCCTCCCGCTCCCGGTGCCGCGGGGCGCCCACCGCCTCCCGCCTTCGAAACGTCCCGGCGTGCACCGCGCCTCCCCGCAGGCAGCACTAATCGCAGCCGGCACACGCGTGCGCCGTTCGACGTCCAGACAGAAGCAATCGAAGAGCCACGCCCCCTGACTCCTTTATCCTAAGTGTAAGGGTGACGCACTCCAGGTTCTGCTTTCTTTTCTGGGCTGCGTCTGGAATTCTGGAGGCCTCCAAATCCTGGAAATTTGTGTTCTCAAGTTAAGCAAAGTGTAAAAGCCCCCAAGTAGAAGTTTCTCATACGTCCGTGCACCTAGAAGTAAAGGGAAGCTGTGGCTGTGCTCACTCCTCCCACGAGGGGCGGGCACCCGTGGGACTCAGTAGTGATAGGTTCCCCCCCCCCCCCCACCGAGGTGAGGGTTCCGAGTCCCCGAAGTGAGGGTTCCGACCCTGTCCTGGGCGTTGACTCCCGGGTACAACGTGCGAACCCGGGGTGAGGGTGTTTATCTGCCTCAGCCAATTGGCTGAGAAGGCTCTAAGGGACATCAAACGCACACAGGACACAGTCAAGTTTGTGGTTAGGTCTGTGGGCTCTAGCATTTAATATAAAACATACTGGACATTTATAATACACCCTGGACTCTTAACTATTTACACTGAAGCATGACATGCAGAAAAGTGCGCAAATCAGAAGTCTGCCACGTGATGAACAGCACACCTGCACAGCTGAGAGAGCCCGAGTGCACTGGATAGCAGCCACCCTAGGCCAGAAAAACAACACCGTTCTGAAAACCTCTCTCCCTCTCCAAGGCAACTGCCAAACCAATTCCATCGATGAATTTCGACTGCTTTTGATATAAATAGAATCGTGCATACTTTTGTGCCTAGTTTCCTGACTCTTACATCTGGAATCCTTCCAGAGTGACCACACAGTGATTTGTTTACTTTTGCAGCTGTGTAGATTGCACTGTGCATCTTATACCATAAGATCCATTCTGCTGTTGGTGGACTTCAAGCTTGTTTCCAGTCTAGGGGTATTCTGAATAATGGCACATTGAATTTTCTTGTACAGGGATCTGTTTCATGTGCTGGAATATAGGGCATGATATCATCAATTAGTAATGTCTAACAGTTATGCAAAGAGAATGAAATAATTTACATACTCCAGCTGTGCTGGAGGTTTCGATGGCTTCCAATCTCAGCCTCACTGACATCATCAGTCTTTATAACTTTTAGTGATTCTGTTGGGACTTGGTAGTATTGCATTACAGCTTTTCCATAGTAATTAGTTGCCAACCTCATGTGTGGTTTGACCATTCAGTATCTTTTGTGAAATGCTCACTCCACTCTCTTACCCTCATTTTTTTATTGGGTTGTCTGCCTTTTACTGACTTGTGGTATTTCTTTATAGTATGTTGTGGCTAGGAGCACACTCTGGTTTGTTTTTTCATTCTTTGCTGTTGTTAAAAACTTCTAAAATACCCAATGGACTGGGTTCCCACTTTACCTAATGGAAGGCCTCCTACTGGGTGTCACTGGGGCCAATTAAGTGAGATCCAGTTTGGAATAGCAGACCAGAAACTTTATTCATTGATCAAGGAATGTAGAAAGGAGCACTCCTACCCTAAAGTCACTTTATCCCCAAGAAAAGAAGTCTCTCATAAGGAAAGCTGACTTAGAATCTAGGACTTTGTTTCTAAGGATATAAGCCAGAGGTGCAGGGACTGCGAGAGGATTCACCAGAGACAGAGGTGGGGGGGGGGCAGAAGAGGCAGATTGATGAAGGGGAGCAGCAGGCGGGTCAGGAGAGGTCTGCCACATCATGTGGGTCACCTCTGGAGCTGGGTATCGAACTTGCACTGAAGCGGCTGTGGCCAGCTTGCAGTGCTGCATCCTAACTCCTTGCGCCACCGGTGTGTGTGTGGGGGGGGGGGGGAGCGGGGTTCTGAAAGTAAGTTTCAATGTGTTTGGGAGAAGGGGCTGGGCACATTTGGTCATCTGGAAACACTTCAATGTTTCTTTGGTTGTTGATTCAGTTAGGGTCCCTCTCAAGTCCTGGGACCCATCATTTTCTTTGACAGTCTGAAGAAGACTGTGGTTTTCATTCCATTAAAGCTTAACTTGAAAGACAAGACATATAAGCCAAGGCTGTGCTGTTATTTTCCAAGAGCATCCCCTATGGTGGCCCGAGCAGGTGACCGTGACTTACACAATTTGCTGAAGCCCAGCACATTTCTTCCTGTTTACTGAGAAGCTGCTGAACTGTTTCAACAGGGTTGAGAAAAGCACGTTTCAATGTGGTTGGGAAGAGCTTGGGGACAAGTTCAGGGCAGAAATCGGCCTTCACACACACCATCAATACTTAAGAACATACACTGCAGCCCAGCTTGGGCTATTTAAGACAGCTTATTCCCCAAATCACTAACCATAACCTAGGCTACAAATAAAACCAAAGGATAAGAAATACAACTGCCATTTTGCCATCAAAGGAATTTTTAAATGGTCAAATAGAAAAAGAGACATCAGAGGAAGAGCTTCTTAGCTCAGGAGGCCCTACCAGTTGGAAGTACTATGTGACCTTTGAAGGGACAGTTTCATTCTGGTAGTGTCGATATAGGGAAGGGGTGGGTTTTCTGAGGTCAAAAATATAAAAACAAAGGCCCATGATGGAGCCCTTCAGCCAGGACTCTCCACTCAACTTTTTATCTATTGCAGTTTTAATCTCTCCCAAAGTATAATCCTAAACCAATCAATTTAGAGTTTCCTAATTGTCACCTGTGAGGTCATCTACAAAATAAAATCTCCCAACTTCCTCTGGGGGAAGGTGGCTTTATTTGCAATAATTTTTTCTTTTAATAATAATCTTGTCCCACCTTCTGTCAATAAATACCCTTCATTTTGTTTACACGCTTTAAGGCCGTATCTAGATGAAATATCTGATTCATGAATCATTCAGTAAAATCAATTAGATCTCTGCGCTTGTAGATTTTGTTTTTATAACACTGCTTATTGGCTTTTTCACTCTTAGTGCTGTTATTTGATGTTTAGACATTTCTAATTTTTGTATTACACAATGGCTCGTTTCCTGTCCAGTTAGCGGATGGTGGGTACATGCATATGGCTTGTTTGAGATATCTTCCCCCCATACACACACACATTTATCTTCGCTATTGCCTAAAGGCTTGTTTCACCTTTCACACTTAACTCTAAATCTGCCTAGAATTGGTGCTTGTTGAATATTTTATTGCAATATGATCTATATAGTAAAATGCAAGTGGAACACAGGCAAGCCATTGACACCCATATCAAGAGCAAGATTACCTGCCCAATCGCCCCAAGACTCTGCAGGCCTGCCTTTTTTATACATTAAATGTCCAAATATGTGAGCACCTGCTTCTGGACTGCTTCTGACCCATGGGTTTAGCTTCTTATTCTTGCACAATATCTAATATTTAATTCCATAACATCATTCATTTTATGGAAAGAACTGCCCCCGAAAGAACTGCCATTTTTAAAAAATTGTATTAGTTATTCCTGTCCTTTGAATTTTATTTTACTTTAAAAATTTTTACTTTATTTTGCCCCTTTACAATAAATTTTAATTATCTTGCAGCTAAAGAATCCATACTTTGATTTATGTTGTATTGTTTTAAATTGTATTGAATATAGTATAACTTTATATTTATTTAGATCTTTTAAAATTTCTTAGTGTTGAGTTTTTGTGCAAGGGTCTTATACATCTTTTACTAATTTTATTCTAGGCATCTGATAGTTTCTGATGCTATTCTAAACTTTATTTACAAATTTCATTTGCTAATCATTAGTTTGTGAACTCTTGAGATAATTGATTTATAGTTGAAATACATTCAGTAGTCCCACTGTCTCCAGCAATCTTTCCAAATTCAATTATTAGTGTTTTATAGTTCACTGTAATGGCTCTTTTGGGTTTTTGACATATATAAGCATGCTAGCTGAGTATGTTGGCTTTACTTCGTCCTTGCCAATTCTACTAGTTTTTCATGTTTTGTGATGTGCCAACTGGGATCTTTAACACAATGCTGAAGAATGGTGCTCGTGAAGTCCTTTAGCAGTTATCCCTTCCAGAAAGTGAAAAACCTAACCACTTGGCCAAAGTTAACATCACCACCACACAAATCCAGGTCATGTATCCCCAACACAGCTGCAGTGTGAAGGACACACCATCACTTCTGTGAGATGATACCTGCATTGAGGCGTAACCTGAGTCAACGTGGGAGGGCAAAATGCCTAAGGGGCAGCCTATAACAGGGCCTGTGAGCTCAACAGTCATGAGAGTCAAGGAGAGACTGAAACACGTGTAGACTGAAGGAAATAATTAAGCAGACACGACGACTCAAAGGCAAAGTGTGATTCTAAAGGTGAAGAGTGATGAAAACAGAATCTTTTACTAGGTACATCATTGAAAACTGGCAAAATTGGAATCCAATCAGGGGATTGGAGGGCAGCAAATAAATCAATGTTCATTCTCTGACTCTGAAGGCTACATAGAAGGGTTTAATAGGAAATACATTCAAAAGTATTGGGGGGGGGGCAGGTAATAAGGTATCTTACTTTTAAGCTAACTTACTTTTAAATTGCTCAGCAAACATTTCTCTGTACTGCACTTGCAACTTTTCCATAATTTTTTGCTTTGTGATTGTTTCAACATGCAAGTTAAAACAAAACTAGCCGAACTTCACTTAATTTCACAGAGGACCACCAGGTGGCATCTCTATACCAGAGAGCTGGTTTTACTTGGTCATTCTCTTACTGAGGTCACAGTTGACAGGAATGGGGGATACCCAGAGAAGGCAGGCTAACTAGGATGGAGAAGCAGAGCCTAAAGCCTACTTAGGGGCTGAGTCAGTACCAGTTTCACCTGGGAGATGGTGTTCTTATCATTTGTCTCATCAGCTGGAGAGAGAGAGGAAGAGCAGGTGCTGAGAGAAGCAAAAAAGGTCCAGGGGACATTTAATGCTGGCCTCAGGGCTCCCCAGATGCAGTCGGCTCCTCCCCTGAAATCCTGAGTCAACCCAGGCAGCCCAAAACAATGCTCCCCATCCACTTGTATTTTTTCCTAACTCAGTGCCAGTTGGTGTATTTCCTTTATTTGCAAAGGTTTTGGACCTCACAGGGATGCTATCAAAATCCCAGCATGTAACCCACGGTGCAAGGATTTCAATTGCTGAAAAAGACAATCTCTAGTCTAGTTAAACCTCTGCTGGCAGCTTTAGGTGGAGAGCTTCCGCTGGGCCCATGTGCAAGGTGTCCCTCTACCCAATTCCTTTATCAACAAAGCTTTTATGGCCCAAGGAAGGTCTCTTTACCCTGAAATGCTCTGGGTTTGCAACATAGAGACCTTAGCTACATCAACATTTGCTAATATTCAAAGCACATAATGACACCAAACATCCTGAAGTGAAAATTAAAGTGTCTTCACACTTTGGTCAGCTCCCATGTTTAATTGTTGTGCTTTGGAAAGAAATACAGGGTCCTTTCCCATGGGCTGTTAACTCTTTTATTAATTTAGGGTTAACATTGTATTTGCTTTGTTGATTTCATTTTCGGAGTTGTGGATTCCATAAACAACAGCTGGGGTTCCCCCAGCTCACAGGGGACAAGGCAATGTGTTACAAAGACAGGAGCAAGACAAAATGGAGAAAAACGAGATGAAAAAATTTAAGGCAAATGTTACTCCCACATTAAAGGGACTCGATCGAGCTGATCTGCGCATTTCAATGAAAACATGTGAAATATTTGTCAAAATAATTAACACCGGTACAAATTAGGACATGTAGCTTATAAAACGCCTGCACAGGTTTGGCAGAAATCGATCCGACCGTGCCATTAGGCTCTGAATACACACAGACACAGAAGCAGCCACTGGCCGGGCTTATCTCCGGAAGAGCAAAGGCCAAAGTGGACTCTCGAGCAATTCCAGAAGGTGGGAAATCACCGGTGGTGAACGACGCAGTGAGCTTACATTTCGATAAGAGGAACTGCTTGAAAAGCAGGTGCCTTTGGCTAGGTCCCGGAGATGCTTTCTAGGGCCTTCCTCAGAAGGTTCTACATCGGGTAGAGGTGGGCATCTGTGTCCCGAGATGCCTAGCGGCACAGAGCAGTGACAAGGGACGCCCAGCTGCAGAGGGAGGCCGGCTCTTCCCTTTTGGCCTTGGGAGGAGACTTTCTAAGCCGTTGCTGCAGCTGCAGAAGGAGCTGACTACGTAGAAATAGACGCGCCATCCCCAGTGGTCACACATTTTATGCCCCTAAATCTATTTTATTTACATTCTGACCAAACCGTCCCCCAGACTGCTCTGTGGCAGTGAGGAGCAGGTGCGCTGCCCGGCCCTTCATCACACGTGGGGACGGGCTGGGCCCCGGTGGGTGAGATTTACTGCAGAGCTGAACTGAAGCACGGGAGAAGAGTGATGTGTTTTGCCAAGCGTCTTTCTGCTTTGGTCTCGAAGATTCAGTAAACTTATGGTCCCAGAAGCTGATCCGAGGCTGGCGCTGTGGAGTCCCGACCCTCATTTGGTTCCTGTTTGGAGCTGGGCAGTAGAATGGAGCCAGCAAACAGAGTCTGAAAGGCTGTCGCTGTTTTAAGGACACGTCCTTCAGCCCCACCACCCACCAGGTTGGGGGGCCCCGAGATGGGGCAGGAGGACCGTGCTCCTGGGGAGATAAAGCTGTCAGATGCAGGGTACCGCCCCTGAAACAGGCTCTGGCCTACAGTCTGGAGAAAGGCAGCAGGACGGATGGACAGGGGGGCCCTGCCTCTGGGGGTGGCCGGGACCCCTACCCGGCCAGCAGGCACGTGCGGCAGCAGAACTGAATGAAGAGCTTCCGTTCGCACAGCCTGTTGGACTTCACCATCTCACAGAAGGTCTCGTCAGCTAGGGCCCGCCAGGAAAGAAAATGGGGGCCAAGGTCAGACATTGGGGCCGGTTAAAGTTTTTCCAGTCATCCCTCTCCAAGCCTTTATGTTGGACCGGGCAGGGGCCCCAGGGGACAGGGGGGGCAGCCAGGGCAGGCCTCCCAGCCTCCCACCCCATGGCATCTGGCTCCTGAGGGCCCGGGCTGGATCTGGGGGAACCCTGGGAATTCAGGAAGGTGCCTGGGAGAGAGGCAGGCAGGGCTGAGAGAAGTCTGCTGCTCCTATGCATCTGTCTGTCCTTCTGGATAACTGTTTTGGTGGGGAACTTAGGAGGATGATTCTGGGGAAGGCAGGAAGGCATGAGCGAAGAGGCAGAAGTAGAAGCTGCTGTTGTGCTCCAGGGGACACCCCAACCCGATGGGGTAAGAGGGTCACCTAGGTAGAGGGAGAAGCTGAGGGGGAGGGTAAGAGCCCCAGCGTTTGGGATGTGTTGTCATTCACAGGACCCTGGAGACAGCCCAAGCCAAGCTTGCTTTCCGGAGCTGGAGGCATAACCCAGTAGGTGACTCCCTAAAGAGAGGGCTTCCTGGCCTGTCAAAGGACACAGTGCCACAAGCCTAAGTAATGACCGAACACCAAGAAGTCCATCATGGGGGTCACGCGTGATATGACCCACATGATGCCAGGCTCTCGCAGGCTTTGTGCCCGCCGGGGCACGGCCAGTGCCAGCTCCTCGCCTAGGACCCCTCCGGCTGCTCCCTTTGACTTGTGGAGCCATGGAGGCCCCTTCCCTCCCACAGCACACCCGCTCATGGGCCACCCAGCCAGAGATGTATGCCAACCTGTCCTCAAATTGGAACCCCAAGTTAGTGTTCGGTCTCCCGAGTTCCCTTTTCCACATCTGTCCCTGTCGTCTCTTGCCTAGGGAGCTGGGTCACGTGGGCCTGTGAAGACCCCTTGAGCTGGAACCTCCCAGCCTCTGGGCCTCTGAGCTTGGCGCCTGCCCTGCTATAAGTGACAGCACCCAGCCGCCTGGGGCTGAAGCCCAGAGAGTGGGAACAGAACAAGCAAAACATGTTTAAGAGTCGCTCAACAAACCCGCCAGCAGAGCTGAGATCCTCTCTGGTCGCTGTGTGAGAAGCGTCGAGGAAAGGCGTGTGGGGGTGGGGCTGGGGGGGTCAGGAAGCCCCAAGATGGCCAAGCCTGCAAGCAGGGCTGGCAGCCCAGGCACAGGGGCTCTCACTGTCCTCTCCCTTAGGCCAGAGGCCGGCTCCTCCCAGGGCCGCCCTGAGGGTCACTAGGTGCCCCGACACGCCCGTGCTCACCGTTGCTGCACGTGTGGTTGGTGATGCATGAGCTGCCCAGCTGCGTGAAGCCCGCCTTGCACTTGCTGCAGTTCCTGCTGGAGCCTTCGCAACTCAAGCAGTTCTCCTCACACCTGTGGGGAGATAGAGCGCCCAGTGCTGTCAGGGAGGAGGCCCAGCCATGCCCGGAGGCCTCCTCCCTTCTGCCCCACCCCCCAGCTTTGGTCCTCTGCCCCCAGCATGGCCTGAACTTGGTTGAGAGTGTGCTGGCCTCTCCTCCCGTCTGCACCCTGTTAGGGCAGACGCGGTCACGCCATTGCAGGAGCTTGCCCAGAGAGGAGCGCAGTCCCAGGTCTCCAAGACTTCCCGTAGCTCAGCTGACGGTGCGCTGTCCACCCGCAGGGGGCTCCTGAGCAGCGTCGGCACCACCCAGCCCCTCGGACAGCTTGCCCGGGCTGCCAGCTGTGCCTGGGAACTCGGGCTGGGCTCCCCCTGATTCTGGACCTGGGCTGGGGGCAGATACCCGCCACCAGGCTGAGCTTCCTTTGAGGTGACGCCAGCTGGGGTGGTGGTAGGGGGAGAGGGTGCGTGCCCAGTCGGGGCAGAGCCTTGTTGAGGGCTCTATCCCCCCAGGTATGGTGGCCTTGGGCGGCCAGCACACAAGGCAGGACACATCCAGCAGTTTTATCGGCTCGGAGTCACACTCACGCATCTGCTTGTCATCTGAAGCTGCTTTCGCAGTGGCAGATCTGAACGGTTATGACACAGGCCACGGGGCCTGCAAAGTTCCAACTACTTGCCAGTGGTTCCTATACAGAGAGAGGCAGACGCTGCCTGGAGGCAGGAGCTGTGTGCCAGCCACGCTGGACCTCGCGAGGGCCTATGTGGGGCTTGCAGGCTTCTCCGAGCTCAGCACTGAGTCTCCAGCACCCAGCACTCAGAGCATGCCCACCCTGCGCTGCTGACCTGCGGGAGCCTGGCCTGACCCCACCTGGGCCTGCCCTCTGAGGGCAGTTCTTTGCTTGGGACAGGTGCTGCCTGCCTGGTCAGCAACTAGATGCCAACCAGACTCCCATGTGCCTCTTTGCAGCCACCAAGGTGTGACCACACCTCAGTTCCACCCTCGGCCTGGAGGAGAGGCTGATCTCCCGGTGCCGTTGAGGGTGTCCCCAAATGGAGTGCAGGCTTGGAGTTTATATTAATAAAAACGGATCCAGTGGGCAAACCTGCCTCTGGAGCCCTTCTGCAGCAAGAGCCTGGCCTCTGCCCCCACCGGACACTCAGGACCAGAGGGAGGCTGTCCGGCGGAGCCCATTCCCAGGCACTCTGGGGAAACCCTGTCCCTGCTGTTTCTCCTGGTGGCCCGACCTTTGATGCCACAGCACAGGGCACTGCTCCCCCTGGGCACCCTCCCAGCTTCTCTTACAGGTGAAGCCGCCTCCCGCTCTGTGAGCCCAGTGCTAGGGACCCCAGCCCGCCAGAGGGTCAACGGGCTCGGGAACACCCCTTGGCCTGTCTGAGGGTTGCTTCTACTATAAGTGAGCAGAGCAGCCACAGAGACCAGCTGAACGGTATCGGGGTGACAGCAGCACCAGGGGCACCCGTTATTCAGCTTCCTGCCAATCCCGGTGCACAGAGGGTCTCAGCAAAGACTTGTTTGGCAAAGGAAGGAAAGCCACCCCCAAACTTGTGACCTTGGTGATCGGGCACCTCAGGACACCTTCCTCTGTGAAAGGTCCTGGTCACTCCCGGCACCCTGCAGTAGCACCATGGAGCACCCCCCCACCTCAAAGGGGTCCCCTCTCCCCCTGCTGCTCCTTTGCAGGCACGGCTGATGGGCGTTCTCCCGCGTTGAAGCTACACATGTGTGGGAGCGGACCCGTACCTTCGGCACACTTTGTGGGGCAAGCCCGGCATCTCCTCAGGGTAGAAGCCCTCATCGCAGGCTGGCACACATTTCCAGTCCTGGAAGTGGAGGCTGGGTGCGCAGTGAATGCATTCTTCCCGGCTGGGCCCTGAGGGTGCAGGAAAGCAGCAGGAATCAGGGGCTGCCTGGTCCTCACTGCAGCGCAGCTGGGGTACCATCGGAGCTCACTGCCCCCACCAGGCTTCCAGGGGTCACAGTGCCTGCACCAGGATGTCCTTGTTCCTCTCGGACCAAGCATCACACCTGCACCTGCACTGGGCAGACAGTGGGCAGCAGCCATGCCTGGCTCACCTCCCTGCTCTGGGCCTCATTCACTGCCCCGCATGCTAGCAGGAGGGCAGAACTAGCCACGGGTGGCATGAAGTCCTTGAAAGGAGCTGGAACTGACCTGAGATGGACTGTGAGTGTAAAACGCAGACACACACTGGAACGCAAGGCGCAAATCAAAAAACATGTGAAATAGCGCATGAATTTTACTATATTGATCCCACCCACGTTGAAACCATGGGCTGTCGATACATTAGCCTTAATCATCTTCATCTGTTTCTCATGGACATTTGAAATCTTTCTTTTTAAGCCCCCTTGCCAATAACGGGTTCCTAATGGAAAGAGGCCAGGTATAAAATTCAGCGTTAAGATTGGACCAGAAAGTCAAATTGATCTTAAAATCAAAGAGACTTGCAAAAATGGATTTAGTTCTGCTTCCACTGTATCCTTAGGTTCAAGTGTTTAAATAGAAATAATTCACCAAGTGAGTCACTATCTACTAGGAGTTTTGCCTGATGACTTTAGAACTCACCTCCCCAGCTCACCAGCATTTATATTTTCCACCATTTTGATCTTTCTTTCTTTTTCATTACTGAAGCCATTTTGCCTATATTTCCTCCCCCATACACATATGCTTCTCATCACCCCTCTAATCTTTCTCTCCACTGCCCCCCCTCTTTTTTTAAAGATTTATTTATGCATACAGAACTGCAGGGGCGGTAAGAGGATTCACCAGAGACAGTGGGGAGCAGAACACGCCTACCGACGAAGTACACTGTTGAGGGGAGCAGCGGGCGGGTCAGGAGAGGTCTGCCGCGCCATGTGGCCATGTTCCCTGGCCAGGGATCGAACTCACGCTGAAGTGGATGCCTCCAGCTCCCCAGTGCTGTGCTTCAACCCACTGCACCACCAGGGAGGGCGCCACTCCCCTCAACCTCAGCAACCTCACTTTGCCTATGAGTGTCTGCTACCTTCTATAAGCCCTTTGCTTTGTCCAGTTGTTGATTAGGTGAATGTCCAAATAGGTGTGTATCCTCCTGACTGGCTTTACTACACATCGGTCCCTAGATCACTTTCCATATTAAAGGCAGTCCTTTAAAACTTGCGTTAAAGAAGGGCTGTTGCTTACTTTTACCTGTTTCTCTAAGAAATTTAGATTTGCATCAGTGGTCCCACCGGGGAGCATGTCATATTTCCACTGGATAGAATGTGGGTAACACGATACAGGATGGGGAGGAAGAGTTTTTGGGGAGTGGTGTGGACTGGTGTTTGGTGCAGCTGGATGACCAGGGCATTTTCAACAACAGAGAAGAAGTGACTTAGGGCTTTACAAGGGAACCGAGAGCTGCTGGAAGGATCGAGTCTGAGGAAAGCCGAGCTCAGGAAGGCTCATCAGCTCGGGGTGGACCCTGGTTAGAATGGAGACACCAGGCTGGCAGTCTGCCCCACTGCTCTCTCACTCATTCCAACAAGTATGAGCTGGGTGACCACTCTGTGCCAAATGTCCCCTAAGGTGGGATGTCAGAGAGAGGCAGCAAGGTACCCACAGGCTGGCCCCATGAGAGCTGAATCCAGGACAGACACAGTCTCAACCGCTTTCGGTAAAGGTCCTTTGTTCAGGGTCTCCCTCCCGCTGACATTGACCGTATTTCGATGCAGGCCTGGCAGCAAAGGCTGTGATATGTGGCCCTCTTCCCAGAGGACCCCAGGCCTAACGGGGACTTGTCCACGGTGTCCAGGGAAGACAAGGGCTTGCGGGGTGGCTCCACCTGCCATGGCTCACGGTGGGGCTGGTGTCACACCTCTGACAGCTTTGCGGCCAGACTGGGATGTCGGGGGCTACCAGGATGTGAGCAGGAAGCCCCAGAGGCGCACTAGAGGGCGATGGAGCACCCTGCCTGCCCAGGTGTGCTCCCTCTTGTGATGAGACACCGAGGAAAAGCTGCAAAAGGAGTGGATTCTGTCTGGTTTACATCATTCTAGAGGACAGGTAGTTCTTGTGTTTCAGCCAAGAGCCTGTTCCTCGTCCTCCACTCCTCCATGTTGGTGGCTGAGTGCCTGGAAGGTTCTGGAAGGTTCTGGAAGCGGTCCCCTTCTGTGGTCCTTCCCTACTGATCCCTGCTTCCTGGGCTGCCTCAACCACACTAGGGGCCTCATACGGGGAATAAACACTTGCTCTGGTTTGTACTTAGCTTAATGCCGAGTACCGACATATCCCACGGTAGATGCTAAATGCATGTACCAACCTTCAAAGTGAGAGACGTATTACTTCAGGAAGATGCAGAGTTCTGGGAATGGGAGCTGGTGCTGGCCACACCACGGTGTGATGCCTTAACACCGCCTAAGTGTACCCTTCAAAGCAGTGAAGACGGTAAATTTCAGGCTACGGACATGTCACCATGATGCAAAAAGCTGATTAAACACAAATTTCCTACACAAACGATTTTCACAGTTACTAAAAATTAGGAAGTTTATAACTCCAATCTCTTAAGGAGTCCATTAAGCCACCAGCTTTTACAAGCTTCAGACACTTTAAAATGCTCACAGATCACAGCTGCAGCAGCTAAGTGGTCTGCTCAGGCCGGAGCTGCTCTGTTGCCGGCGGGGTCTGGTACAAGCGAGAAGGCCGGAGGTGGCGGCAGGGAGGCCCAACGACCTGAGGTGCTGTCCTTTCTCCTGCCTTCTCTCTTCAGAGCACAGAGGACTCTATCTGCTGTTTCGGGTTGTGCTCTGGCAGGGGTTTGCATGAAGGCTGCCCCTCAAAGCTGCCAGGGTAATGCCTTGAGACTTGGCACATGGGTGCCTCCCTGGCTGCAAGTCACCTCCCTGTCCCAAGGGTCCCCGCACCAGCCTCTAGCAGACGGCCACGTCCCTGTCAGCACACGCTGGGGGTTGGGGGGCACTCAGACTGGAGCTAGGCAAGAGGCTTGTCCCCACTGAGTCCACAACAGGATGGGGGCACTGGCGGCCTGGGACTAGGACACATGCAAGCATGCCACTGTCCCACAGACCATGTCCCTGGTGCCCTGCACAGGGGTGGCGATCCCTGATGGAAGCGGGAGGGGAAGGCCAGGCAGGCCTGGGGACAGCGGCCCCCAGCACCCACCTACACAGCAGGAAGCCTTACGGACATGCAGGACAGGGAAGAGGTCCTTCTCTCCAGCAGCGACCACGGGAGAGCACACACATCCATCCCCAGAACTTAAAAAGAACCCCGACAGGCGCCCAAGGGGAGGAAGGTAAACCTCAGACAGCCTGAGCTCTGCGCATCATGGAATAATAGCATGCTGAAGTGCCGGGAAGTCAGGAGGTGGAGGACAGAGAACCTGTAAGGACTATAAAGCTGTTTGCCAGCAGGAAGTCTAGGGATGCGGAGAGAGAAAAGTAAATTAAATTATTGAAATCAGAAGTGTTATAAAACCACACACCTGAATTTTATGGATTCAAGTGGCTATGAAATTTAAATAGGTGTCGTCAGTGATGTCCCTTGATCAACCTGGGCTAAGCATTGAGTCAGAGAAGCAAAGAACAAAGGGGCAGAGAAGAAGGCACTGGCAGTCTGTAGGAGGGACGAGACTGCCTGAGGCGGAGGGCGCTTCCAGACTCTGAGATGGCCCCTTCTCTGAGGTCCCAGGGAGGCACAGCTCTCCCGGGCTTTAAGAGCGTGGCCTGGCCAAGGTCCTGCTGTCCCTGGCATGCCCCCTCCTGGAAGCACAGGTGATGCCCCCTGGGGCTCACGCAGCCACACCAGACTGTGCCGGTCCTGCTGAATTCCCCAGGTTCTGTATTACGGAAATGGCGATTTTGCAGAGATTAAACATAAACAATTCTGAAATCGTTACGGTAGCAAACAGTCGAATGTGGGTCTCTTTAGAGCAAGGACCAAAGTGTGGGGGGCAGGAAGCAGTGTCCAGAAGAGAAGTCTGAACTCCAAGCAGGTCTGCACCCGCAAACTCATCAAGCATTTCAGCTTTCTGTGCAAATAGCTGCAACATGAAAAACCAATAAAAATGAATGGATTCTCTGCTATTCTGCATAAAAACTGTGCCTGCAAGACATCTGTGCTATCATCTTTGTGGGGAATTATAATGCACATAAAATTGTTTATAGAAGTCTTTACCTCTCTGAATAAAATGTTCAACATAAGTGAAGACAGGCGTGAGGAATGAAGGCTATGTTTTAAAATGCCTCCTCCCACCAGCACTGGAATCTGCACCCACCTCTCCCCTCTGGATCTTGATGGCATGGTATCCCAGCCCGTGCCAATCTGCAGTGAGGGCTGAGCTTCCAGGCAGACAGCTGACAGTGCGCACCCTTTACAGCCTGGCTGTCTTCTAATGCCAGGAGCCCCAGGATGCTCATTCTAAGTGGGCGCTGGGCCCTCCCTGGTGCACATGGGTTAAAGCGCAGCACTATGAAGCGAGCTCAGCCACTGCTGCGCAAGTTTGGCCCCAGGCCAGGGAGCTGACCCACATGGCACGGCAGACCTCTCCTGTCCCACCCCCTGCTCCCCTCAGCAGTGTACTTCAGTGATCTGCCTGTCCTGCTCCCCATTCTGTCTCTGGTGAAGCCTCTCACCGCCCCTGAACCTCTGGCCTGCACCCCAGTTCTGTATGCATCAATAAATAAATCTTAAAAAACAAACAAAAAACAAAACACAAAGCAGGCCCTTATGGATTTTTTCCCACTTAAAAAAAAAGTAAAAATTCATACCACCTAGCATCCTATTCACCATTTTTAAGCGTATAGCTCAGGGGCATGAAGTCCATTTACACTGCGGCACGACCATCACTAGCGTCCATCACTAACTTCATCTTCTAAATGGAAACTTCGCACCCAGTAAACACCGAGTGCCCAGCCCAGCCGGTGCTGCCCCTGGCAGGACCTTTGTCTCAGTGCTACAGCACATACCCAGCCACGGAAGCTGCTGGGCTTTCTGGTTTGGGGACAGACTCTCCTCCCAGCTAACCCACTCTGGCTTCGCGGAATCAACGCCTCTGTGGGGAGGAACTCACCCACGCAGGTCTGGCAGGTGGGATGGCACTCCCCGCACTTGATCTGCTCAGAATCAAAGTAGGTGCCAGGCTCGCAGTCTGGGACGCAGCTGCCCCTCGCAAGGCTGTTGAAAAGATAAAAAGGCGGGTTTTCATATCCTTTCCAAAATTCTTATTAAATTACGATTTGCCCCCAAACGCCTTTCATAAGAGGAAGTGAACATTGCTAAAGACACGGCTCTTTGTGTCACTTGAGGTTCCCAGCTGATGAAAGCAGGAGGGATTGTTCTGAAGCCAGCTGGAGGCCCACACGGAAGGGACAGGGGGCCCAGGCTTCACGTCCCTCCCGGACGGTGAGGCTGGCGTTAATCTGACGCGCAGATGAACAGCTCTCGCAGGTGCTGAGATCCTGGGGGCCGACTGGCTATCGGTCTCGCTGGCCCTTAAAGTTACTCTTGCAGCCAAGCTGACTCTGAAACTCAGATCTGTTCCTGCCTCTCCCTTGCTTGAACCTTTCATGCTTCCCAATGAACTGCAGTAAAATCCACTCCGGGACCCAGCGGGCCCTGCCCGGTGTGGCTCCTGCCTCCTTCCGCTCAGGGAGGCCGCCGAGGTCGGGGGTTCCAGCGGCCACATCTCCACCTCTGCTGTCAACTGAGTCACCCAGGCTCCTGCCTCGTGGGGCAGCTTGGAGGATGATATGAGCAAATACACTCAGAAGACTGGGAGGTGCGTGCACACAGCAGTGTGAGTGCACTGTGCCTGAGCACAGTCCCACCAGCATTCCGGGGTGTCTGAGAGGTCCGGAGTACCCGCTTTTGGGGAGATGGGGCTGGGGCTGCATGCCTCCCTGTATCCGGGGGGATGCCCACCCAGGCTCTTCCACGTCACGGCAGCAGGGCCCTGTGGCCGGCAGTTAAATCAAGTCTTTAATAACTGCCGTTCCCGAGAACCCTTCCGCATTTACCCCCCTAAAGAGATGGATGGCCGGCTCGGCGGCTCGGCGGCTCTCACTGCTTTAACGTGACAGCCATGATTTGAAGCCACAGCTTAAGAGGATATTGGGCAATAAAAGGGAAGCTTTCTGTGGATTACAGCTGACGATGTTTTCAGTTTGCATGTCTCTCCCCGCTTGTCAGGGCCGGAACCCCTGTTTCTGTTTGTGAGGCTACTCCCTGAGAGGTATTTTCTCCCAGTGACACCATTCCTGGCCTGAACATGAGGTCCCCTCATCCCCAGGGGGCCCGGGATCTGCAGGAAGCAGAGCCAAGACTTCCCTGCTCAGCAACACTGGGAATCAAGTTCCAAGTTGGAACCAAGTCACAGCCATTGAGCACCCCCCACCCCATCTTGAGTGACCAGCCTGGGGCCGGGGGGCCCTGCTGGGAGCTGCCATCACAGCCGGCCTCTCAGGTGCCAGCTGATGGGCTGTCTCTGTCATGTCCGCGCCTCAGTCCCCATCTTCTCCCTGTTGGGCGCCTCCCTCCTTCCTCACCCATGGCATCGAGTCACTGCTACTCCTTTCTTGCTCAGCTAGCAGGTTTAAAGGACCAAACATATGACTGCTGACTCTGGGGGGTCCTGCTTCCCCTTCTCCCTCCTCGTGCCCCCCTAACTTGGGCGGGGGACCCTCACATCTCCACACCCCGATCTGAAGAAAGGTGCAGGCTAAGGAAACTTTGCTAAGGCAGCAACACTATGCTTCCTGGGGAAACTATTTCCCTCCCCTGTTAATAAAATGTTAATAACAATGACAATATCTACCTCCTGGATTGCTGGAAAGAGTAAATGAGGCAGTTTTGTGAGAGAGCCAGAATAAAACTACCCTTTAACTTCCCCGCTCTCCCCTCCCCAGTTCCAAAAGAACCCAGCCTCCTGGTGAATTCCGCTGCCCAGCCCTTGGGTGGGATGGTGGTGGGGAAGAGGGGCTGCAGGAAGACCCTACCAAGGCTGCTCCCCCAGGATCTGCGAGCACCTGGGAGCCTGGCAGAAATGCAGGCTCCAGGCTGCTGGGTGAGAATGTGCATTTTAACAAGAGCCCTGGGACAGTGCCTTGCAGCTTGGGGTGGGAAAAACTGCTCTTGAAGACCCTTCTCTTTCCTCCTGGACAGGCAGAAGCTAGATTTTCTACGGAGTAATCACAATGAAATTTTGAACAGGATATTTTCTAAGCTTCTAGATAATAATGCAGAGGAATAAGCAATGCATATTTAATTGCATTAAATGCATTAAGCAGGCTAAACAACATTCCCAAATATCCCAGTGAAAATCATGAACCAGGGAAATGTATTTAACGGTGATGTTTGTCGAGCTTGGCAAAACGCAGAGAGCCGGGAATATGCACAGCAGTCACAGATGATAAGCTCCCCGTAGGAAAGGAGAAACAGGTGCTGCACAGGGCGGACAGCACGGTTGAGAGAGGAAGGGTTTCTCAGAGTCCTGCCCTCTTGCCCTTGCTAGGAGGGAAACCAGAGTAAATGGGTTACTGGTGCTAAAAATGGGCTCCTACAGCCCCCCGCATCCCAGCAGCCGCTCTCTGCCTGCTAGGAATAACGGCTGCTTTTGCCAGTTCTCCAAACACTGCATGAATGTCCAGCTCTTACCCTTCCTTGAACTTTCTATCTGAAACGCCATTCTGTACCTGGAAACACGAGTGCAACAGACTCAGAATCTTTACCCTGAAAGGCTTCAGGCCTCTGAAGTTTTAGCTGTTAGGAAAAAGCTGCAAACGTATGGGAAGCAGTGACAGACACAGGAGTCTGCAGACAGGCGGCCATTGTGCAGGCTCGAAGGGAGAGGGCTTACCTGAACCCTTCTTTACAGACTGTGCATTTCTCGGGTTCATCAATGCACTTTTTACAGCTCGGGTGGCATTTAAGGCAATTTTTCTGACCTGGAGAATAAGATGACAAGAAACAGAAAAAGGGAAGATGGGTGGGTGGGACAGGCCTCAGGTGCTCAGGGCGGGGTGGATGCACCCACCCAGTGTCCACCTCCAGCGTGGATGGCGAGCCAAGAGGACAGCCAGAGGCCACGTGGAGACCTTGGGCCCGGCGGTCCATCACAGATCCCTCATCTTTCTTTCTGGAATAAATTAAAATCCTCAACCAGCCCAGAGCTTTGGAAGTGGGTTCCTTCTGAGGAGATGTTTTGGTGCCGTCTAGCCAGATGCAAATCTTTATAAACGTGATGGGGTAGAGTTTGGGGCTGTCTCTGAGCCCCCTCTAACACCTTCACAGGGTGCAGTCTTTAATGCAGGAGAAATTGCAGAACAAACAAAAGAACATGCCCCCCCCCACATCCTTTCCTCTTTTTTTAAAAAAAAGATTTATTTATTTTGCATACAAGAACTGAGGAACAGGTCAGAGCACAGGGGGTGAGAGGATTCACCAGAGACAGCGTGGGGAGCAGAACAGCCAGATTGACTGAAATCCACTGCTGAGGGGAGCAGCGGGGAGACAGGAGAGGTCTGCTGAGCCACGTGGGTCAGCTCCCTGGCCGGGGATCGAACTGGAGCTACAGTGGCTGCAGATAGCTTCATAGTGCCGAGACTTAACCCCTGAGCCCTCTGGGAGGGCCTGCCTTCCTCTTTTGAAGCCTGTAAGCAGACTGAGACTGAGATCAGCTGGGCTACATCACCCTCTGTGGGTACAGATGAGCGACCAGGGATGCAGGGCCACACCACTCAGCTGTTCTGTCCAGGCAACTGCGGGGATCACTCTTAATGAAGGTGGTCAGAGGTCTGAGGACCCTGGTTCCATGGCCTCGCCCTCCGGCCCCGGCTAAGGGTCCTTTCTCAGCATGACTTAGTAGGACAGGAAGTAGTAGGATGGGATAGTTCCCCCAGCAGGGGACTCCCAGGCCTGGGAGAGGCTGGCTCATCACTTCTCGGCCTGTGGCCTGCACTTACTTTCGTCAGCATAAAACCCAGCAGGACAGAGCGTCACACAGGTGTTTGTCTCCTGGTGGTGATAAAACCCCCGGCGGCAGGAGAGGCACTGGGTCTGGCTCCTGCCCACGCACGTCTCGCATCCCTTGTGGCACCGGCGACAGCGTCTGGCGACGGAGTCCCCAAAGTAGCCCGAGGGGCACACACTCACACACTTCCTGTGGGGTAGGAGTGGGAGAGGTCTTTGCAGGTTAACCACGAAGGGCCCCCCATTCCCCACCCCCACTAAAGGTCAGGCCGAAGCCACTGACTGGTGAGCCCAGCCGAGCACTTCCTAAGTAAAAGGGAGAGAGAGGACTTGGTTAAGGACCTGGGAACTCTCTCTTGGCAGAGCTGCTGCAGGGAGCTTCCGTGGGCACCGTCACCGTGATGACTGACTCTTGGGGGGTCAGGGGCACTGATGACCCCTCCCGGCTGAAAATCTCTCCATACCCTGCAGTTTCTGCATTTGCAGATTCAACCAACCGATACTGCAGTTAGTGGATTCTGTGAACGTGGAGTCTATTCCAGGAATAAACGGCCCGAGCTGTGCAAGCCTGGACTGTTCAAGGGCCACCTGCACTGGACTTTTAGAGCTTTCAGGTCCAGCAAACACCACATGGTGCCAGTGGGAGTGAGTCTCGAGGGCGGCGAGGAAAGCTAGCAGAAGAGCTGCCTCCGTGCAGAGCAAGGAGAGCGTGCTGAGCCGCCATGGACCTGAGCACCCCAGGGGGGTTGCACACGCACTCCTGCCCCCCGAGCACCACTGCACCCCTGTTTGGGTCTGAGGAGGTTGGGGTGTGCTCCCCAGGCATGATCAACAGTGCTGATTTGTAGAATACAATTGATCCCTAAAATGACATTTGTCTACAGCTCCCGAGTGTGGCACTTATTGCTGTTGAACAAAATGGAGCAGTGTCCCCAAAACACCTGCACCCCCATGTTTACTGCTGCTTTATTTACAATAGGAAAGACATGGAATCAAGTCAATTGCCCAAAAGTAGATGACTGGATTAAAAAGATGTGGTCCATATACACAATGGAATATTACTCAGCAATCAAAAAGATAAACTTATGCCTTTTGCATCAACATGGATGGAGCTGGAAGGGATCATGCTTAGTGACATAAGCCAGAAAGAAAAAGGAAAATGCCAGGGAGAAAATAATAATAATAATGAACAACTGTATACCAGAGACATTTTACAGGGGATAGAGTGGGGAATGGGCTCACAAATGGTGGGGTGGGGGAGAAGTGCACTGGGCTTTGGTGATGGCACATGGGCGATTTGGTGATGGGAAACCCACGGGGATTCCAACTGATATGGAAAAACTCACAAACATTAAAATTACATTAAAATTAAAAAATAAAATTTAAAAATGGAGCAATGTCCAAGCAATGTCCACAGCTCTGATTCCCAAGCAGTGACCCTCTATGTGACTTCAGTGGTGGCGGAACGGGGTCAGGGGCACAGTGATGCTTAGTGGGTGGAGAGGTCCAAGGAGGAAGCTCCAGAACATGCAGGTGGAATCCCAGCTGTTACCTGCTGGTCTTGGCGCTCCCCAGGCTGAAGTGGACACAGTTAAAGCACTGGTCTGCGTTGGGACCGTCACAGCCTTTGGCACCACACTCGGGATGGCATGTACCTTAAAGAAATATGCATTTCCTTTCACCCACAGAGACGCTTTCTCAACCAAATCCAGCCCCCTGTCCCTGGGTCAGGCGACCGTGGCCTGGGAGGGCCAGGGGAAGGTTTCCTGGGAGTTTAATGCAGGGCTACAATGCCTATCCCTGTAGGGACCTGACCACAGGTGAGGTCCAGCCTGGCTGGAGCCCCAGGGTCGAGACTTTGGACAGGGATGGCCAGCAGCAGTGGTTGGGGTCAAGGTCAGTGAAGGGGAAGGCAGTTTGAGAGACTGCGGAGAGGCTTGCGGGGTGGGAGGGCAGCTGATGCCCTGGTTTTGTTTATTCCCCTTGTCAGGAAAAAAAAAGACAAAACTTGCAAGCTGACCAGCACACAGAATAGGACGGGAAGGGAGCCGAGTTAAAATGGGGGCAAGTTGCTTTATTTACAGTAGGAAAGACATGAAAACAACCCAAATGCCCAAAAGTAGATGACTGGATTAAAAAGACGTGGCACATGTACACCATGGAATATTACTCAGCAATCAAAAAGATAAGCACATGCTTTTTGCAGCACCATGGATGGAGCTGGAAAAGATCATGCTTAGTGAAATTAGCCAGAAAGAAAAGGAAAAATAATGGATGATTTCTCTCATAGCAGGAGCATAAAGGATCAGGGGAGAAAATAATAATAATAATGAACAGCTATATACCAGAGACATTTTACAGGGTGGAGTGGGGAATGGGATCAAAAATGGTGGGGTGGGGACGGGTGGGGGAAGTACACTGGACTGTGGTGATGGCACACAGGCGATTTGGTGTTGGGAAGCCCACGGGGATGACAATTGAGATGGAAAAAGGCACAAGATGATGAAAAATAAATTATTATATTATTTAAAAAATGGGAAAAAATGGGGGCAAGAGGCACACAGGGGACTGTGGTGACGGATCAGTCACAGGTGCTGTGGCGGTGGGCGAAGAGGGGACTGGATCGAGGGAGAAATCAAATGTGCCTCCAAATAAGCAAAGGTGTAAGAAAACAGGTGAGTTAATAATAAAACAGAACCTATAAGGCTTCGGTTGCTGGGGGGGTGGGGAGCGAGTTAGGAGGGCAGAAGAGGTGACTCGCTGGCCAGCAGCACTTTGTAGGGACACACAGGCAAGACGAAAGTCCCCATTCCCTGCTGCCGCAGCAGGGCTTTGCTGCGGTCACACAACCCTCTGCGGCCGCCGTGAGACGTTCGAGTGTCCCAGGCTAGGCCCGGCTTGGTCTCCTTCCTCCCTGAAGGCTGACCGCTGCTGCTACTTCCAAAGTTTTTGTTTCAAGACCACTGTGAAGCCCTCTCAAAGCTCCGTGCACCCCGGCACCCCTGAGGGGCATCTGCGGGTCGGGGAGAGTCACTGGATACCTGGCTGAAGCTCATCAGTGGGCGACACACCCACACACCCGCCCCGCTCCAGCCTGTTCTGCGTTTATTATTATTATTTCAAGATTCAACGGTAAAGGTTTATTTCTTACAGCCTCTGTCTCTCTCTCCTCCTCATCAATGCATGGTTTCTCCCCGCCTCCCCCAACCCCCCACTCCTTCTGGAGCTTCCCTGAGACAGGCTCTGTCCCAGCACTGCAGCACAGCGCCCCTCCAGACGGAGCTGGGACACTGAGTCACGGGACTTTCCGGACAGCAGCATAAGGTTAGAGTCAGGGGCAGAGTTTAAGAAAATGAAAAAAAAAAAAGAAAAAAAACCCCACTCTTTTATTAATAATTACTGAGCCTTGCCACAGTTTATAAATCACAGGCGGAAAGAGCAGATTAGTCCATACATAATTCAGGGTCCGTTTTAAAGGCATGGTAGCAGAAATTTAAAATTGAATCAACCATAATTTATACTTGGTATCTATTGGTAGAATTCCCCACTGGGTTACTCCCCTCGCCCCCCAGAAGCTATTAGATAACTCAAAGCAACAGTCGTTAGAGATCTGTCATCATTTATCACGTAGCCTAAATGTTTATTAAGGAAAATATGCCCAACCAGAAACACTGTCTCTCCAGCCACAAGGGCCAGGCTTCCCTGCCAATCAAGATGTGCCCAGCCCAGTAGCCGCCAGGGAGAAGGAGGCCCAGCGTCAGGGACCCCCTGGCCATGGCGGGGGGCTGGAGAAAAGAACAGGCGACAAGGTGCCTTCACTCCCTGTGCAAGACTGACGCCTCTCGCAGCTGGCATCAGCAGCTGCAGACTGGAGACCCTCCCCTGGGCCTTTATGGGCCCTCGTGGCCAGGCGCGGGTTCTACTGAGACCTCCTGTCCTGGATACGTCCACTCGACCCTACCGTCCTGGGCCTCAGAGACGCCTCGTCCTTTCAACCCTGGCCAGAGGGACTGAACATGGAGGCTGTTTATTACGAGGTGGACACTGAAACAGGCTCAGAGGAAACGGGGTGCCTGGGGCCCCGCCCCAGTTCTGGTTGTGCACACTGGACCTCAGTTTCCCAGGCTGGGAAGGTTGGAGAATACTTACGGGTTTGAAGCATACTTACTGGTCTGTAAGATATTGGGAGAGCCGTGGGTGGAAGGAGCTGTGTGAGTGCAAATGGCCGTCATTATTACAACTTGCAGGGGGGGAGGAGGACACGCTAGCATCACCCCCACCTTTGGCCCGGAACAGCCCCACATTTTCAAAGCTGCCGTGGCACGCCCAAACTGCAGGGGCTGGCCGCCCAGCTCCCTTCTTTACCTGCGTACTCCTCTTCGTCTTCGGGAATCTCGGCCTGGGACGGCGGCACCGCAGCCCTGGGGGGCTCCAGCTTTGGGGTGGAGAGCTCCAGCATCCGAGAGCGGGACTGGTGGGAACTGAAGGTGTTGTAGGGGTGCTCGGCTGTGCCGTATAAGATGAGGCTCCATTCTCGAAGTTTCCCTGGAAGACATCAAATCTGGAGTCTAAGCTAGGAAACCCCTTGAAGTACCTGGGCCCTTCGGCTTCCCACAGGTCACACTGTTCCAGAGGCGCCAGATGGGACACACCTCCAAACACACCTCCAGCAGCAGGGCTCTCGCCCACTGCTTCACTACCCCCCGCACCTGTTACCAGACGACCAGAGACACACCTACCACACCGGCCAAGTTTCCTCCCGCCACCACCCCCTCAACCCTCGTGACTGGCAACAGCCTCCTTCCCATCTTGCAGTACTCAGTGGGGACCCCCAGGCCATGCTAATGTGTGACTGGCTACTCATAGCGCTGCAACCTGTTTCCTCAAGCCTGGGCCACAGTTAGATGAATTTTGGGTTCTTCCCTTCATGGCCAGCCCAGGGAGGTGCACTGGGGAAGTCTGGCGGGTTGGCAGCGGTGGGACAAGCCCTAATGTCTACACAGGCAGGTGTGGGGAGCACACCCTGTGAGCAGGAGGGTGAGTGAAGACAACAGGGTGTGCAGGAAGTGAGAGAGGTGTTGGGAGAAGCTGGCTGCTGTGACAGGTACCCCCTCCACCCTCCGTCTCCATGTGGGAGTGATGGGTGATGCTTCTGGGTCTTCTCAGCTAGAAAGCGAAACGGGGTTCCAGTTAGAGCAGAGGAGGAAGCTTGGGTGAGCTGGCTCAGTTTCGGGGCGTGGGCTGGGCTCCCCTTTCTTATTTTCGGCTCCCTCCTGGCACTCAGAGCAGTGTGGCACATTGAAGGGACACTGCTATCCTCATGCAAACCGGGGCCGAGTTCCAGTGTGACCTGCCTCAGAACATGCTTCTCAGTTAACTGTACTCACAGTCTCCTGACCCCAGGGTTTACTTGGAACCGACTGTCTTTGCCAGCTTTGTGTCTCTGCCAGCAAGGGAAAGATCTGGCTGCTTCTGCTTTGCCTGTGTTGGGGTTCTTGGCCTTCAGAAGGCCCCAGCCAGGCCTATCATTGCTCTGGTTCTTTGGCTTCCATCGGTATTTTTATCCTCACTTCTGCTTCCGCAACTCCACTTCTTCACTCTGTGTGGCAGTCCATCTGTCTTTAAATATCTGTGTAAGTACTAATTTTTTTGCAAAGTGGACAGAGCTGCTAGTTTAACTTCCTCTTCTGTCCAATGCCAAGAATGTCTTGTGTTCCCAAATGGGGCTCCTCCTTATCCAAGTGCCCCCACAAACCTGTGGGCTGTAACCCATTGCCCTAGGAGGGTATGGAGGACATGGCAGAAATGGCCTGCTGTACAGCAAGCTGTCCTGTGCTGTCCGAATTCTCGGCCCCTCACCACGACACACAGTAGCACGGCGTCCTTGTAATCATCACCCAAGCCAAGCGGGACCCCGAAAAGTCTGCTGCCCCCCAGTCACCCAAAGCCAGGCTTGTATCACCAGGGCCTGCCGCCCCTGTGGGGTTGGAGTATGTAGGTCCCTCCATTTGCAAACTCACTTTCCTGAGCTGGCTATTTCCAGGACACAGGCGTCCACGGTGCCCAGTTCTATGGGACACGCTGCGGACACGTCCCTGACACTCCTGACGTGACATGGACCGACGGCAGAGCTCAAGAAACGTTTCTCATCCGGGCGCGGGTATGGGAAACAGACCCTGGCTATGCGCAGTCATCCTTTCTCAACTCCTTGGGGACGAACCAGAGCTGTGTTTCAAAGCCACAAAGGAATCTGGGCATTTTAATGACTGAGTGACGAACGATGATTAAGGTGGGAGCCGGAGGACCACATGACAGGGACCCAGAGCTCGGCAAGCTGTAATTGGAGTCAAGATTTATTTCAAGCCTGTTTGAAGTCTCCAAAAGTACCCACCACCAAAGCCCTCATCACTTAAATTAGATTCTTATTTTCAGATCTAGTTTGGGGAAGACAAACCAAGGGGGTTGCCCTGGGTCCAGATCAGCCTACTGCGGGGAGGGCGGGCAGGCGAGAACATTCCAGGAAACCAACAGGAGGAGCTGCAGGAAGTAGGGGTGGGGGGCTGGGGGGGGGCTGGGGGGTTCAGGCCCTGGGGTTCAGGAAGGGAAGAGAGGCTTCCTTTTAATTGTATTCCCTTGAGGATCATGGGGTTTAAAAACCCTCACAGCTTGTGTTACCTTGCACATGTAGTTGCTTTTTCTTAATTTAAAAAAGTGGTCAAAGAGACAACATTATAAAGCAGCAGGACTCAGGCTTATGATTTATGTGTCCGAATAAGTAGCAAATATGAATGGCTCAAGACTGACATATGAAAGGGACTGCACTGACCGCCCCTCCAGCCCCAGCCACACACATGTACGTCTGACATCACACAGTCCACGGTCCCTGCACTTGGCATTCTGTCTCATTTTCTCAGGCCAAGCACACTGAGATGATTCACTCACCCGCTTGTCTTTCCACCCTTCATCAGACTAGGGGCGTCACTTGGGGGAGGGAAAGTGCCAGGCTTAGTACACTGGCCTTGGGGTGCAGCCCATTTCTGGCATGTAGTAAGTCCTCAATAAATGTGTGCTAAATGAATTGGTATTTTTTTGTATTAATACCTTAATACATATTTTTGACAGCATAATATCTCACCATGTGAATTAACCGTTTACTTGACCAATCTTTCACGAGAGGTTAAATAGGCTATTTGTTCTATTTTCCTTTTTATTTTTCTACAGGAATTTGCCAGAAATATCATTTGCTACTGTCTGAACTACTTTCTCTTGATAGATGCCCCGAAGAGAATGAGACACTGGTAAGGCTCTTAACACATAATGGCAAATGACGGGCCCCCCACTCCACTCTCTCATTGCTGTCTTATAAGATCTTGGTCAAAAGCAGCCAGTTGTGACAATGGGACACCCCAGGAAAGAAGCCCTCTTAGAAGAGAGGGACTTAGAAGAGTGTACAGCCCCTGGTCCAAGCCCAGCCCCAGCTGCAGAGTCAGTAGGAAGATTCCAGGGACTCAGCACCACAGATTAAAGAAGGAAGAAGTTGAAAGAGATGCACCCCGAGCTACCCAGGGCCAGGGACTGGCCCACACGCCACAGAACTGCCTTCCGGAGGCAGGAGGGTTTCGCAGCACGTAACGAGAGTGAGTCATTTATCCTTCGGGACACTTGGCAGGCTCAAGTTTACCTGCACAAAAACTCAGCTAGTACCACTAACTCCTTAATTTCCAGAAGGGGGTCTTAAGAGGATGTCCAAATCACATTCTTGGCTCGTCTCCTTTAGATTCCTGAGACTGGAAGAAAGGACAGCAAATCCACCTGCTTTAACACATGGGTCAGGCAGCGCCAGCCCTCTGCCTCCAGATGTCACAGCAAAGCCCAGGCAACTGTGACCGTGAGAGGCAGAGGATAATCCAGGACTAATGCAGGCCCAGGCTGCCAGGAGACGGCTTTATCATCATTCACTATCTTCAGTGCTGCATTTCCCCCCCTGCCTCGAATTGGTAATGAACAAACCGGATTATCCCTGTGAAAGAAAGAACCAGAAGTAAGTGAAGGCTGAGGGGGAATTTGCCAATAGGAAAATACCAACCATAATGGAGCTTTTCTCTCCCTGGCATTTTGAATTAAGCATTAAAAATCCCTGAGAGGAGAATTTACTATTGGAGACAAAGCATACAGAAGTGGGGGGAGGTTTTCTTAGATTAAGAACTCCGAGCTAATACGTTTGAATCCTGGGTTTTCTTTGGTCATATGAGAAGTTACTAACAATAAAGAACGTATTTCTTCTCCCCTCCCCCACCCTCACACCCATCGTTTAAAAAGGCAGGAAGAAGTTTTTTAGTGAAAATGCAGCCAAGAAACAGAAGCCTGGAAAAGGCAAGAAATATGTTTCAGTCTAAACTTCCATGAGACGCTTTAGGTTTTTTCAATGAACCTAAAGCTACAGAGTTTACAAAGTTCAACACAGAGGTTTGGGTGGAAGGAATAAAAAGTTCTACAAAAATATACACGAACACTGAAAGGGGGAATTTGTGGTATGTGAATTACATGTCATTAGCTCTATATGAGATACATGTAAGTATATATGCTTGTAAACACTTGTCCCTTAAACAAGGTAGCGGTTGGGGTAACCCCCTGCTTTCCCCCACCTCAGTTGAAACCTATATACAACTTATATAAACTCTGACTCCCCCAAAACTTTACTAAGAGCGGACTGTTGACTGGAAGCTATAATTAGAACATTCGCTGTTGATTAATACACATTTTCTATGTATTATGAATTGTACTGTGTATTTTTACAATAAAGTAAATTAGAAGAAAGAGAAGAAAATGTTACGAATATCATCAAGAAGGGGACATACACTTAAAGCAGTGTATTTAAGTGTATGGCCATAAGACACTCTGTAGAGAAGTGAACCAGCACAGTTCAAATCCATTCAAGGGTCAGCTTTACACACACACGTGCGCACAGACAGACACATCATGTCTTACATTTCTCTCTCTGACGCAAAAAAAAAAAAAAAAAAAAAAGGGAGGGTGAAAGAATTTTCCCCACAAGTTTGTATCCCTGAAATAATGACCTTTTCAGCACCCGGGAAAGGATTTCAGAAGCCTAAGTTGCCATTTGGCTCTGAGTTAACATACGGAAGGTCACACCTGTGCTGTGAGGCGAGCACAGAATAGCGCTTCTCTTAGGGGCTCCTGGGAGGCCCCTTAGGGCAGGATGTAATGCCATCTCTCAACATTTTCCAGTTTTTTCGAAGTCATAAAATTAACAGTTCGAAAGTCGAATACGACGACCAGGCTAGAGCCGTCCTGGGTACAGGCCTTTCTTCCTCACTGGGTCACTCCCAGGTGGTTTCTCTGGACATCCTGAGAGGGAGTTGTTGGGGGCTCAAAGCCTCCGACCTCATCTCTCAGTTGTAGACGCCACCCCGCGATTTCTCACCTGGAGCTGGGCACCCTCTGACTCCACCCCTCACCCGATTCCCCAGCCTCCGCTAACGCCACTTCTCCAGTGTGAAGATTGAGGGTCTTCCCCCATCCCA